TTAGGTATTTGAAGAAAATATTTAAACTAAATTAATCAATAAACACATATTAAAAATATTAAAAACATTTATATGTTAAGTAAGTTAAAGGGTTCACATCCGCTTACAACTAAATAAATAAAATAAAAAGTTTTTTTTTTTTAGGATAAAAGTTTAAATAACATTTAATTACAAACGAAGAATTAGATCACAATGTTGTTTATAGTGATGAAATTACTTAATATTAAGGTTACAATATATTCATACAAACAACAATTTATTTAAGTATTAAAAATACATTTTTTGTGAGTAAATCATATTATTTAGTAGTAACTTAACATTATATGCTATTATGGTAATGTTTTAAAATTTAAAATTTGTATTGAAAATTCTAAATTTTATATTTTTTAAATGTTTGTTTCTATTTTGCGTATTAAATTTATTTTATAACAAATTACGTTTTCATTTACAAGTATAAATTTTTAATTTTTAATAAAATGATAACCGATATTAGAAATTTAAAATTTTTAAATAAATTTCCCCCTACGTATTTTTTTATTGCATTACACCCTAACTGCTTATTTTATATTTTTACTATTTCTTATAATAAAAGTGACAAACATATTAACATACACGGAAAATATACGACGGTTGTGTATAATAAATAAAAAATAAGTTAAAAATCAATAACTTTATTAATTGGTTCAACAATATTATAATCAAATACAGATAGAGTTCAAAGTATTGCGAACTATATAACCATAAAAAAAGAAAGTATAAAAAAATGTATAAAAACGCAAGGAAACTATTGTCTACAGCGAGAATAATTAGACTTTAGAATGTTGTAAATTAACGTAATATGAAAATTTCTAGATACCTAATTGGTGGATATTAAGACGAATTGCTGATGAACACTATGATAAACTTCACATTTGATCATGACCTTAAAGTCTTCTAGCAAAACTAATTAATGAACAATTAGTTTTAAGAACTTTGCAAGGTTTAGGAAAACCTCTAGCATAGCTACGTTAAATTCATCACTATTTTCACCAACAGCGTTTATATATTTTGTAGTATACTTATATTTTTAAAATTATTTATAAGCTATGGCTATAACTTATATATAAAATTCTTAAAACTTCTCGGAATAAAAATTGAATGTTATCATGGTTTCATTTAATTGTGTAAATTTAATTTTGTTCAAAATTACGAGAAAGTTATATAATATATTACAAACAAGTATCTAATATTTCTGATATAAATATATTAGTTTATAGTTATATCAATGGTTATAAATGCCTATTAGAATAAATATTAATATAAGTCTATGCTATGCTATATAGTATTTATAAGTAATGATATGCATTAAGGATACTATTATAATGAAATATTTTAGTATAATACAAAAATATAGTATTAGACTTGACATTTTATAGAATTATCATAAATCATCATAAAAGTAAAAATCTTTGAATATTGATTAAATAATATTATGAAACAAACCATGATTTAAAGAAAAATCGCTACGTATAATTTTAATTTTCAATTGAAAAACAAATAAATATTATTTTAAAAATAAAAATGAAACTAAAATAACGATTCAAAGAAATCCAGAATACTATTAACTAAATTAGATAAATAAATTTAATAACAGAAAGGACATTAAGTAGAAAAAATACACATCATAAATCCTGTCGATTCCAAATCAATATTTCAAAATTGCAATCAGTTCCAAACGAGCAAAATTTTCTGACTGATCACGATGAATAACGAGGAAATGTTGAATAATTCTAAACTATTAAACAATAATCAAACAATAAACAATAATCCACTAATAGTTCGACCAGTGACCATATTCGTAAATTATACACACATACGTTCTCATAACATAATAATACATACAACATACATTTAATGGTGTTTGAATACATTTGCCGAAAATGAAAATTATAGCATTTCATGTATACAACAGCTCAACTATTGTAAGATTTGTCATCCCCGCGATTTTGGCTTTTTGGTACATAAAATATAATACTGCAAAATTTTGCAGTTAGTTTACACTAATTTAATGTTAGGTATTGCATATAACATTTGTACAAGTATTTTTATTTTAATAATATTGTAATAACTTCTCCGTTAAGATCAAAGTGCAACTTGGAGTTGATTTACATCTCGAGAAGTATTACATAGTGCGATTAGGTAATGTTTATGCAATGAACAATCTTGTAGCTAAACGGCATTAATAAAATAAATGACGTGGGCTCCTCTCGCAGTTTCGTCTATCTTTACATACGTGTACACGTGTAGGTTGCCCCTGCAGCAGCAGCAGCAGCATAAACGCACTGGTTCATTAAAACAACTCGTGCGTATACGCGATTGAATATCGGGGTAGAATTAGTGGTAAACTCGTATACCTGTTATTGCGTTTCCAACGAGTGTTCGATGAGACAAAACCAGCATAAACATCAGACTCATTTTTTTTTTTTTCAATAATCCATGGCGATTTGCCAGCCAAAATTTGTATTTATCACACGATAGGAATTTGTAGATGTTAATAAATGATAATAAAATTTACTACGTAATGAGGGGGTTCATGTACACAATATGCATATAAATAAAATGCAAACATTTAAAAATACTGCGCATTATATTTAAAACAAACAAGATTAATGTAATATAATATGAACGACCTTATTTGCGTATAATTAGTACTTAAAAATGCAAAGCTATGTTTGATACCTACTTGATTAAGCGTTATTTGAGTAATTCTATAATTTTTTAAAAACTTTTTTTTTTCTTTTTTACATCATTAAAACGATTTATCAATTATATTGAGCGAACAAATTTAATTTTTAATTTTATATAGGTGTTATATAAGGTCGAAAAGTAAAATTAATTGTAGCTCGTTGCTAAGTAACAAATTTCGATTAGATGCAAATAGCTTTTGGTAAAAAATAAATCAAAAAATGCCTTGATGAAAATATATAAGTTTAAGATTAAAAATATTTGCTGTTATGTTACATAATACATATTGTTTTAACTAGAAGTTTATTTTCCCTCAAAAAGAGAAAATCTAAAAAGAAAATAATTAATTTTTAATTTAATTTTAATACACAATACATCGATGTACATAATTTTAAGAATATTAATTACCGTACCTATTTTATTTACCAATATTAACTTAAACTGTTTAACTGTTGACGACGATCATATTTAATTTGGACTAATTATAAAATGTTTTTTTTTTTACTATGAAAATGGAAAATGAGAATAAAAGATACGTCTAAACTATTAATAGATCTAAAATATATCAATAAATACAAATAATTAACATTTAACAGTTTACATTGACCTGACGTGATTTTTTTTTGTCGACAGTATTATTAATACGTACTAACATTTTTGTAACTCGTTCAATGTCATTTAAAATTCAATTGTGTTCAGTCTACATTATATACTCATATAGTTTCACTATCGTTTTGATTACAGTGTTTAAAAATTGAAATTGATTCTTGTTGCACAATATCAAACACACGACGGTGACGGTGCCACGGTGGTATCCGTTGCCATCGGGTGACTTCATAATAACGGCACCGTTAACTCGCTTCAATACACTCTGAGGGCGACCAGTCATGAAATCTAATGAGTTGATTTATAACGGATAGACTGCTACTATGGCTCTAGCGTGTTGCATTGAATTCTAATTAATGTTAGAGTATAGGTACCATGACACGATGGAAGAAAAAAAGAACAAAAATACAATATCACTGCAAGTTTTTTACGACCCAACCGTAAAAGACAGCATCAAACTTTAAATTCGTGGATTGCGTATTACAAACTACTGCAGCGTATATAAGAATATGAGTATTACTGATTATTGCTATTGTTTTTACAAATATTTTCAGTTGTCGAGGATAATTCTATGGAAGGAAAAAACGGTCTATGTTTAAGGTTAAATAACGATCGATAGTTAAGCGAGAGAAGATTTTATCGTTGGCAAAGAATTACATACAAATTACGGCTAACGCGCTATTAAATCAAATTAAAACGATGTTTAAACGGACAGTTAAAAGTAATAAATCGAAACCCGTTTTTAACAAACCGAAATCGGCGTATTAAAAACGAATAAAATTTCAATTTTGTCTTGTCCGCTACATTTCGCCAGACCATTAACATTGTGTATCGTGAAGAACTGTAATCATTATTATTTTTTTGAAGTTGTTGTTCTTAATTTTCTTAATAACGATACAACATAATATCACAACGTGTTCCGCGGTCCCATGAACCGAACTAATGGTCTCTGAGAAAAGCGCGTACAACAAACGGGAGGATGTAATCGAAATTCGAAAACGTCACTCTCGCAGATGTTAACGGAAATATAATTTACGTACCTAGTGAGTTTCCCCGATCGTGTACAAACATACACATCGCTATAATATTATTGTTATACGGGCTGCAGGTTAGACTCTCGATTCTCGGCCGTAGCCGCGGACGTTCGTTTCGCGTACACTAAAACCCGACCAAGGAGTTAAAGACCTCTGTGTATGCGGACTGATCGCGCGTCCACTCGTACACGGGGAAAATATGGAATGCGTACACGCGCATAACACCTAATAATGTAGTGTAAAAGAAATACGAGCAACAAATAAAATATATAATATGATTAACTGGTGGTTTTTTTTTTTTTATTTATTTAATTTTTTTTCCCGGAGAAAATAAAATAGTTTCACACGGATCCATTATTTGCAGTGATGGTAGGAGAGAGTTTCTGTGTGGCGTAACCGCGTGTTCTGATTATCGTCCACACTATAACATCGCCGAGCGCGGCGACGATTACGGCCGTAGCGATGACGACGAGTCGCGCGAACCGACACGACAACGACGGCGGCACCACCGACAACAAGAACAACAACAACGAAAAGAGCAATAACAGCAATAACCAATGCGAGACATCAGCGCGTTGTCGGCCCGTTGCGTGCGGGGCAAAGGAACGAGGATATCATAACGTCGTTTGTACTTACGAGATCTTAGTGGCGTTCGTGTGGTGCGTGCGTGCGAAAAGGTCGCATGGACCTCGACGGTCAAGGGTCGGAGACGGCTGCTGGGGCGGCACGTGTCGGTTAATCTGCATGCGCACCCGCGTCCAGTGCGAGTCGATGGTTCCGCGGCGGTGATCACGATCGCTGGCTGCGCATAACGGCCGCGCGCCTTTGGTGGGCACGGCGAGAGGAGGACGACCGTTCGGCGGCGGGTTCGGGAAAAGAAAAAAAGAAAATACGCGAGGGACGGCGTCTATACTTGATCGTGTTTCTCGCGCGAACACCACTGTTAACGGTGCAACACAATTATACGCGCCCCCCCCGAAGACCGCGGTGTTTGGGCGCGCGCGCGCGCTCGATCGACGTGAAAATTTAATACAACGCACCAATGTTGTTACGACGGTGTTAGCGGGCGCGCTGATGTAACGCGCGTCGACCGATATCGTTTACGAACGTGCCGCGGACGATCGCCGGTGTACGGAACAGCGGAAGGACGACGACGACGACGACGACGACGGCTGATACAAAAATCGTATTACTATTGACGGACGACGGCGGGCGCGCGTGTGTATACTACGTGTGAGAACGCCGTGCGCGCGCAAAACCAACACTGGACTGAACGCACTGCACCGATTTGACGACGGTAAGCGCTTATCCAGTCGGCGGCGGCGGCGGCGGCGGCGGCTGCGGTGATTGCCGGGGGACCCGACCGAGAGAGACGCGCCGCCGCGTGTCTCCTCCACCATGTCTCGCAGAACCCGACCGCCACTACCACGTTTCGCGCTCGTTCTTCGCCGCGGCCGGTGCAACGCCCCCGTGGACGCTTCGCGTGCGTTTTTCACGCGCGACCCGAACAAAGAGACGCGCGCGCGCGTTAGGTTATTTCACCGGGACAGTGGCGTTGTAGTGGGGGGAAGGGGCAAGTGTAATTAATTGTTTAAGTCTTAGCGTTAAGTATTGAACAAATCGTTTTGTCCCCTCCAAGATAATCCAACAATACAAATATTTGCGTTATCATAAGTTAAGAAAAAAGGTATTATATTATTTAACATGTTATAAGATAACTAAGGGGGCATAGGATTTGATCATGGTTAATAAATTATTTTTTCCCAGTTACGCCACTGCACCGTAAGGTGCACTTTAGTACGTAGCTCGTGAACAATTGCTGTTGTTTCTCGAACTAATCCGTAATGTTATCGGGCGGGAGGGGGCGAATATGGTCGTTACGCTGTTCCGGGGTTTCGAGTGCGTTTCGCGAGACCGCGCAGACTCGCCTCACCTGTCCACCGTTTAGACGATGAATCGTCTTGTCGAAATCAAAAGGACAAGTCGAATTTCGTTTGTTCGTGCTTACATTTTCATTTCGTGGCACAGAAACGGTGGTTAAAGGTTGTATTGGATTTTGTGTTTTACCTATCGCTATCAAATCGTTATGATTACGATCGGGAAATACGTTTGTCGAAAAAATATTACCCCTTGTACGTTGTCTGTCTTGTATTCTACGTGAATACAATATTAAGTATTAAATTTGTACCTAATTATAACAGTGCCGCAACTACAAAATAGGAGGTCCGTGTGCAGTAATCATATTAGGCCCCTTCCTAGGATTTATTTTTGTTGTACGTCTTATTTATATATATTTATATATTTATACTTATTTATAAATATCAATTTTTTTAGGTTTTAAAACACGTTTCACATCAGTTATTGTATGATATATGTAAATATATCAAATTAAATACCTACTACTGTTGTATGTTATATTTCACTAAATATTTATGTCGTAAATTTATTTAAGTAGTTTAGATAGGTATGTTGTATGCCTACTCAAATACTCGATGGACTCATTGTTAAATAAATATTATATTCAGTGGCGCATTTAATATATACGCGCCCCGCTGCAAAATAATTTTTCCACCCTCCCCCCTTACCAAAAAAAAATAAAATAAATATATACATAAATAAATTCAAAGTTAAGCAATAAAAAATTATTTTTATGAAACAAATCACAAATCAATTGTCTTGCGATATTGAATTAGATAATTTTATAGTAATACATATCCTAACGTTAACCTAATTTTTAAATCTTAAAAGTGAATATTCCTTTCTTAAAAATATTTATATATATATTAAACATAGAAAACGGAATCAACACTTATTATATGCAAAATGATTAACAATACAAGGTTTTTCATTAGATTAAATATAATACATTTATTATTAATTATATACAATAAAATAAACATGAACACATCAATAATAAAAGTAAAAATATTTTTTGGCTTCCAAAAATTTGCCGCTTGGGGAATTTACCCCTTTCGTTCCCCCCTTAAATGCACTACTGATTATATTACTTTAAAATATTATAACATCCTTACCTGAATTTTAAAAAAAGTTTCTTTTTATTATAAAATAATAATATAATATTATTAAATAGTTGTGTATTTGTAAAATGTAGTTTATTTTCGGCTGTGACTAGGGGGGGGGGGGGCGGCCAAATGTATGTAAACCTTGGGGCCCATGTGCGTGGCACACTTTGCACACCCGGTTTTTGCGGCACTGTATTATAGGTACAAAAGTGTTGAAAAAACTCCCAAACACAATTATAAAATCCGTCCTTTTATTTAATAACACGATACTAGAATACTCTAACAAAAGATTAATAATCTGTTTTTATATCTACCATGATTTTCTTCCTTTTCATCACTATACATGTGTAATAGTAAAAAAAAAAAACTTAATAGAAATCTTTTATGTGAAATAATTGTATAGGCATAAATCATATATTTCTAGCCTCATCAATAGTATTATAGTAATAACCTGAATAATATTAACCAATACTATACTAAACATCAAACAATAATTATACTTAACATAATTACATCAACTGTTTTTGCGTGGGGTTAATACATAATATATATACATATTATATAACGTACCTATTTATGGGATCGAATGTAGAGATGAATCAATACAGTTAATATGTTAATACTAATAAAATTAATATATTTTTTATATTAACAGCATTATATTTAAACACATCCCAAAATTTTAAGATTATGTATTAATTCAATTAAATATCAATTAGTAAAATATATCTACTGATGTCTACAATCTGAAGTAATTTTAATAATGTTTCATTATGTCATATTATCATTGCTTTCGGAGCTTTAAATAAATTTTTTTTACTATGTATACCGATATTGTTAGTTGTATTGTGTTAGAATTATTCGTGAGAAAATTATGTAGTATTACTCGTATGTAGGATTCGAATTTAATATTCTTTATTTTATTATATTCTAAGAAAATTAATTAGTATTATTTTTATAACTGTGATGTATATAAAAAGAGCCAGTCAACAGGAAATCGTAAGGATTCTTTAAACTTCCAAACACATATGGTATCAATGACTCATTATTTGGTATCAGTAAATCTATCACGTCCTAATTGGTAAACAATACTCGTTATTTAGACACCAGTACTTTTTTCAAGCTCTAAAACCAGTTGTTCGGTCTACTTATATTTTTCAAGATTCAAACAAACTTAACCCTTAAACGGATAATGCATGAGATCTAAAAATGTAATCATTATGGAATACTGTTGAGTATTGCTCATGAAAAGCAATTTATTATTATAGTCTAAAGGTACATGTTACAGACTATATAAATCATTATTTCTACATCCATATTAGACATAGTTGACTAAATGTTATTTATTTTTACTTGAAAAACTTTTCAAAAGTGTCTCCAGTTATGTTAAAAAGTTATATATACAATGCCTGTGTAGCATTTAATTTATACTTAAATATTAATATAAGTACTAAAATGATAATATCCATTGATGAAAAATAATTTTTTTTCAACAGAGTTATAAATAAGTATGTTAAAACGTATTCAACTTAAGATTAAATGATTCAAACATTTTTCAATAGAAATAATTTTAAAATAATATTTAAGTTTACAAACATTTTTCATACAAAGTTTTAAATTGCAATAAAATCTATATTTTATAAAATTAATTAATAATTATTCGGTTTCGTGTACATGTAAGATGAGGAATAATTTGAAAAATATAAACAAAAAATATTGAATTTAAAATCACAATAAACAATTCAATATATAAAAATAATTATTTGCTTATCTATTTTTTTTTTGTTAATTTACAAACACTATTATAATAAGCTATTTTAAATATTTATTTCAATATTTCTAAGTATTCACCTACTATGTTAAAGTATTCATCCATCAATTCAGCTAAACCAATTTGTGAAAGTTTCAAGACATCTGCATTCATATTTTTTAACATTTTAACCCAAAATACTTTTTCCTCCATTAAATTCACCTGTAAAACAATGTATTAAAAACAAGTTTATTAATAAGTTTATTAATTACATTGTAATGGCCTTATCATTTATTTATAGCATATTACATGGTGTTGATTAGACTTGTAAAGGATTTTGAAAAAAAAAAAAACAAAAAAATTAGGGTGTCCAGTAATGTAACAAAGTTCCGTTGTATAAAACACATTGATAAAACAAAGGTAATTCGTTACGTTTATGAATATAAATAAGCTAGTACATAATTTGAATTTTATTTAAAATTTTTTGAGTGTGTTAATTTATTGAATAATTTTTTGTTTTACATTTTTTTTACGCATTTAAACGTTGAAACCAGTTGGAAATTGATTACAAGCTGATGATGTCCGGATTGAAAAAGGACGGAAAATATATAATAAAGAAAATATGATCGAGTTGTATCACGGTCATATACTAAATCTTTTAGTTAATAGTTCATAGATAATAACTAAGTAAAATTAAATAAATTATTAATATCTTGTAATTTAGTGAAAGATTTGTTTAGTAGGTATTAACTACTTTTGAACTAGAGCTCCCTATTACACATAAATACGAATTTACGTGATTAACATTCATTAATCTATAACCGTATACGTAAAAAATCTATATACATGTGTATACGTATATTTACGTATTCATGAATTTTAGTGTTGTACTTAATAATTAGTCATTATAGGTATATAAAATCTACTGCAAATTTAATGTAAACATTGGACATATTTTTAACAATATATAACATATATAATACAGCACTGCACAAATATCCGTGAATACGCAAATAACTCTTAAAAAAATGAATACCAATGTTTCATTCAAGTGTACACGGACTTCGTATTCACGTACGTATTAATTCACGTTTTCAATACCTCTAATTGTAGCTTTAATACAATTAATTTAACTTATTATATATTATAACATTAGTTCGAATAATTAATATTGATTCGAAGTAGTTTGATTGCAGAATTAGTGTTATGATAAGTTAAATTAAATTACATATAAATAAATAATTATTACCTAACAATTTAGTGATTTATTTATTTAGTAGTAGTTATTATTAGTAATAGTAATAATTATCAAGCAATAGTTAACTACAGTTAATATTGGTTTAAAGTAATTTGATTATATAATTAAGTGTTTTAATTAAGCGCAGAGGAGCGTCAGAAAATATTTGCACTATTTCAAACTCAATTGTTCGTAAAATTACGTTTTGAGCAAAACTAAAACTAAATGTTCATTAAAAATACTAAAAATTATTGCTATACTTGAATATGAGGGAAAAAAAGAAAGAAGAAAAAGAAGACTTGAATACGAGTTCACATAACATGTATGTCATGCATTTGTTTAAACTAATAATGCGATTGGTTCGATCATGGGCGTTCTCACGGGGGGGGGGGGGTTAGGGGGGGGGGGTCCCCCCATGACCTTTTTTTTTTAGGTGAAATGGATTTTCACGATTAACTGATAAGAAAATTAAATAAATTAATAATATGCAATTATTGGTATACAGATAACAGATAACAGATTACAGACCACGGTTACAGTAATCTAATATTATATTGTGATTATATTGATATTAGATGTAAACACCTTTGAATAAATATTCATATCCCCCCCCCAATAAAAGTTCCTGAGAACGCCTCTGGGTTCGATATATTATGATAATTTTGTCACATGCATAACAAAAAAAAAAAAAAAACATGATACTACGAATGAAAACATTATATTAAGTTTGAAATTATCGTTTGTTAAAAATTACAAATTGGCAGGGAAATCCGATTCTAATTCAAAATAAATCAGCTTAAAGACAAAAAAAGTTTAATCGTCTTCTTATAGCACTGTAATATGCTGTACAGCATATCTAGAATATTAAAAGAAATAGTGTTTCAAATTTCAAGTTTATACGTTTTGTCATTATTGATTTATAGCGATCAGCCTGTGAGTGAGTATTTTATACATTTTGTACACATATATATATTATACGTTAAATTAATTAAAATACGAATATCTAATGCAAAGATAGACATGTTAATTGAACTGATAAATGACGCAAAACTACCCAAGTTCTTGATAAAATATAACCATATATTAACTAAAAACTATAGTAAATAGTGAATGTAGATGTTTTAAACGGATTACTCCAAACCACATTTTAAATCCCAAAATAGTAATAGAAGTTTAATCATAATTAGAATAATGTCATAATATTTAGAGAGTTAAATCAATTTACGAAAACGATACTCCATTTTATCGATATTCGTAAAATAGTTTGAAACATACCATAATCATTAAGGAAAACCACTCTAAGTCTTAACTTTTATTATAATTTCCTATATACGACCCCTTAAATAGTAATTGTGTGACTCATAGATTAATTTTCGATAATAATAATATTTTGAATTTATTGAATTTTATCAAAATATAACACTGAATGCGAATCAAATTGAACATAAATTGTCTAGTTGGAACAAATTATTATTATATATTTTATTAGAATCAAGAACTAAATTATAATAAAATATAAAAATTAGATTCTGTTTAAATATATTTAATATTTTAAAAATTAATACTTTAAATCAGCTATTAATCAATTTCTATACGAATGCATTTTGACTAATTATTTTATTTTTATTTATATAGCTTCAGTACAAGACTATTACAGCTTAAAAAATAAATAATATATACTATTAAGCGAATAATATTATATAATAATTTATTATGAAATTAGCTTATTTGCATATTAACAAAATGTATAGATATAATATGGTGAACAATTGTAGGACAATGAGTGAAATATTATTACCAATGGAAATAACATTTTGTATAAACCTCGGTTAGGATGGATATTAAAGAAACAATTACAGAATTTAAATTAGAAATAAATTATATATATTATATCTGAAACGATATCTAGTGGAGAATCATCAGAAGTAAAAACTTTAGCATAAGATTTATGCCGATATTGAGCATAAACTTCTTGGACCTTGTTCGACGGAGCCTTTTGAAATTGTGACTTATATTATTTTGATATATTCTTGATTTTAGTTTCTACAAAAATTGAAAAACTCAACATATAAGATAAAAAAAAATTGTTCTAGTACTATAAACATACTATCGAATTCTTCTTGTTATACTTAGAGTATTCAATATTACCAGTAAGTATTTTTAAAGCCCATAAAAAAAATAATAAAAAAATAATTTTGAAATAAAATGAAAAAATTTTACTTATTATTTAAAACAAATTCTGATTGTATAATTGAAAATTTTGTAAGGAGGAATATTAAATTAATATATTTATCAGCTGCTAGAAATAATAAAAAGATAAGTAAAACAAAAATTTGCTTTTAAACTAAATTAACTACATACAAGCGAGTTTCCAAAGGGAGAGGACTAAGGGGTTTTATCCCCCCATTTTACGTGTAATATATTATTTAATTATCTAATAAATAATTAATATGTATGTCCTTAATTTAAGATTGATTAAAAGAACTTATTAATTTTTCATATTTTATCATTTTAAAATATATTATATATGTGTGTATGTATTTAGTAAAATAATGTATTTTGTCTTTCTGTAAATACAAATTAACCCCTTACCACATTTCATATTTTTAGATCCATCCCTGACTACATATTATTATATTCAATTAAGAATTAATTAAAAAATTAATTAAAAATTAATTCATCAAATTTACAATTTGTTGATTTAAATAAATGAAACATTTTAAACATAAACATCGTATTTCTAAGTTTTAATTTACGTTAGAACCAGGTATTTTCTTTTATTATAATGTAAATCCTTTTTCCGAAATTTTTAAGGACTCAATAACTTCATATTATCTATAAATACTATATAACTTGTATAATTTTACTAACACAAACAAATGTCCATATATATAAAAGTAGAAAAAATACTTATGCTTATTTCCAACAATCAAATTTAATTATAAATAGTTAATAATGATTTTTTTTTTTTTTTTTACCTGTAATGTATACGAAAATTTAGGTTCAGCATTGGATAATACACGAAAACTGAGTGGACTTCTTTTTACATTTTCAATAACAATTATGTTCCGATTCTAAAAGAAATATTTTTAAAATTGTTGTTAATAATTTGGCTATGAAAAAAATTACCAAAATATGAGCTTTCAGCAGTTCACATTTTTGTTTCTTGGCAATCAATAACATATTGTTCAATAGAATCACATGCATTTTTTTTTTCGTTCCCATGATCATTAAATCACCTTCGGCATGCAATTCAAAACAATTGTTAGGTAGCTCGACCTATGGAGAACAATACATTTTTACAGTTGATTTAAATTGTATTATAATTTTATACTCGTATTATTATATCTATAACGAAAGATGATTTATTATGTGTATAAAGATTATTTTATTCATATAATATGTAATTATTTTTTATACGCAATATATTACGTTTGTTTTATCCTTCCAATATTTTATCATTAATTGTATCTTCTCTATACGGCCAGTTTTTTCATATTTATTTTTAGTTTCATCAATGATTTTTACGAGGAGAATCATTTTATTATAAGCTTTTATTATTAATTCATGTTCAGTTGCATTATCTAAAGTACATGTCGCTAGTTTCTAAAATAAAAATATTGTCATATAATATTATAAAACTATTTAAATATTTTCAAAAATTAAGCATTATAAACCCTATTTTAATAACACAAACAAAATACAATTATTTAAAGCATATTGTTTCACAGCGTTTCTTAATCTATTCGACATATCAATCACTCATACATTTTTGTGTAAAATAGCCATGGTACCTTGAGTAGTAAATGATATCTCATAATTCGCTGTATTGGTAGTGCAAGATATGAACCAAGTGGAAGACGGTGTCCTAATTCACTTTGTCTTTGATGTATAATATTAGTTGTTTGCATTACTTCTGATAATATAGCATCGGAACTAAAAATATTAAGTCAAAAATAACTTAATAAAATATATTTTACTAACTTTGTTATATAACTTACTTTTGGAAATTAATACAATATGTTGAATATATAATGAACTTGAGATGATTATTTAAAAAGCAATGGGCAATTTTCGATACATTATTATTAGTCAACTCTAATTCGCTTAAAAATATTCTGTAATATAAACATAATACCTTAAATAATTTAACATTACAATAATTTAATAATAATATTATAATAATTTAACAAATTTCGTTATTTCAATGTACGATATTTTAAAACTTTAAAATAGAAATAATTTGTATTTAACAATACCATAAGCTTAGTAAAATTAATCTATTTTTTTATTTTTACATTATAAATATATTTTTAATAATACCTTATATATGATACCTACTTATACGTAGGTAGTATTTGAATAAGGAATTTGTCCTTTAAATATAAAACCAAAATTATGATGTTAAATTAAGAAATAATTCTTCTTTTTTCCTTCGCCTTTCTCCCAACTATTTGGGGTCAGCCACCCGTCTTGTAAAATAAGAAATAATAATGATAGAATTCTATCATGGAGTTTTGAAGTTTAAAATCAATTATTTTGTGATTTGTCTTTTGAAAGATACTGAAATACTGAAATCTAAAGAAAACTTAATATGTGTCCAAGTATAATAATAAAAAGAAAAATACTTAAAAAATATACTTTCCATCTAGCAAATAATAATTGATCATAAGAAGTATATTCATTTACGTGTACCTTGAAAATTCATAAATTTCCGTAATATTTCCAAATAATTGATTGCTATATTCTTTTGATAATATTTGTTTATACTTCCAATACTCCAAGTATTCCTAATTAAAATATTATTTAAGTGTAAGAAAATTGTTATGAATTAAAAATATATTTATAGTTAAATATTGTAAGTATTATAAAATATTAAAGAACTACACAATACTTTTACTATGTTGAATATCGGCATCTTGAATCATCTGATACCTCGCATAAAGTTACAATACAGGTGAAACGCTCTATATACTTTAATGATTTACTTGGTTAAACTCGAAAATTCGAAAAGTTCTACATTTTGCATTTTATTTTTTTCCCTTAACTTAAGATTCGACATAAAAAAATTAATTATTTAATATTATTATTATTATTATTAATATTAATTATTACTTCTTTTTCTTAATTCACATTTATATACAGGGCCTTTACGCTAGAATATTATAGGTGTTTATCCAGAGCCATATGAATCAAGGACCCACCTATTAGATAGAATTTTTTTAATTTTAATTGATCCTAAAATTTGATTAACGCCAAAAATTATACTTAATGAAAATTGTTTCTTAAATATAAATTATATTTATCGTTGGCATACAAAATAATAAGATGAGAAATATTCATAATAATAATGATCTATCATTTTACGGTATAGATATTTATTAAATATTTTAATATTATGCAATTTTTGTAATATGCTTATATATAATGCAATATGTCTGAAAAAATGTTATGAAAATAAATACTATATATTATTAGATACGTAAAATAATAAATATAAAATAATAACATACCTACCAAAAGTAAAAATTTATACAATGCAAATATTAAATAAAGATAATACATTTTAGGACAGTAGTTCATAAGTGATACTCATTATGTAATGTGTGATACTTTATTGGTGAATATGTATAAGTGAAGAATAGCTTATTTTAAAGAAGAATTAAGATTTGGATATTTGCTTAAAAAAAATCTTTCCCGAAATAAATCATGACGAAAATTAAAACGTTAATATCGATGTATGAAAATGATTAAGATTTTAATACCGAGTACTTTGTTGAACAACTTATTCAATTCCGGAGTCTAATTGTATCTGCAAATTATAAAAATACAAAAACAACTCCATCTGACCAAATGCAATTTATTAAAACTACAAATTTCAAATATATTTCAAAATCCAGAAATATGTTTTCATATATTTTTGACTATGCGGGAACTAATTTTTTTAGTGAAAGTAATTAAAAATATATTAAGATCATCCCTAAAACAAGAAAATTGATTGTTAGGAATCTTATCCATTAAAAATAACACTGCAAACATTAATTTTGAAGAAGTTATTGATATATTTGAAGAACATAATGCTAGAAAAAAAATGTAATAAAAAATGTTAAAGAATATGTAACCTACATTAAAATATTATTTAATTTACTATTTAGTTTCAACTGATTATTGATTCATTTATGATTTACCAATCATAATAATAATAATACATTTATTTCAACAATAACAGTAATGATTACAATTAGTAGATAAAACAATAACAGTATTGGTTTACTTATTATAGCCTATGACAGTGATATGTTCAGGAGTTATATTTTGAATATTTAACAGAAAAATAATAATACAGGGAAATATGATTAACAAATTAATAGAAAATTGAATTTACAATTTTTAATTATAGACCCATATTTTCTTTTTCTAGGACCTCAAAAATCCTAAGGCTCTGTTTTTATATGCAAAGGCGCAATTTAAATTTTTTACCTAAGAGGGACTTAAAAAATGTATACCAAACATACCCGTTGGGGCTTTAACCCCCCAAACCCCCTTAACCAGCCATATTTTCATCATTATACAAAATATTTATGTATCAAAATATAACATTTTGAAATTTTATGTTCTGAATTTTTAAGAGGCTACGGCTAAGTTTGGGGTAGCCCCCCAAGCGCCGCTTGAATTGCGCCTATGTATATATGTAAATAAGTATTACAAATTTAACACATATCATTGAAAACAAACACAACATGATATTTTATAAAATGACGACCATCAAAAAAATATTCAAAGACTATTTTCAATACATGTTACATTAATAATTTAAAATTTATTACAGAAAAACATCCCGGATAGGATAAAATAATCTATTTCTATAAAAATATTTGAAAAATAGAGAAGTCTATTTTTTACAGACAACTTCCAATAGTAGTTTAAAAAAAATCCATTACAAATCCCTTTTAAAGCTATTCCAATAATTCTCAAATATTTTATAATTTTGAATAACATTTTTTTTATCGAGAAATTTCAATTAGTGTATAGTATGAAACTTACCACTATTATTTCTTTCAAATTGTTTACATAAGATTGTTCGGTTTCCAAAATTTCACTGATGGCCAAAGTCTTTTCCAATGTCATACTTATTAAAACGTAAAAAATTAAAATATTACACTAAACTTAACTGGAACTATCATTGTAAGAACTTGAATCTTTAGAAAATAACAATAGTTATGAGAACTAAAAAGGTAAATTATTTTTTTTTTTATCAGTACTACGTAATTGTTTATTTTTTAATATAAATTGGCTTATTTATTTATCTTTGAGTTGTATATTTTGATTTAGTCATGCATTATAAAAGCTATAAAAATAGTTCTATTAGTAATTGATACTTATATGTAACACACACACATTCTATATAATTAATATAATTAATATTTAATAACAGAGCTCAGAAAGTTTCTTTCATAAAAAAATTAATCCACGTTTTCATTATTTTTTAAAAAAAATAAACTTTGTACTAGTTTTAGACAATAATAAACAGTAGCACCCAAACAGGTTAGCAAGTGATGCAACTGCATGTTTTCTCGAGAAGGGCGGGTAGGTGGGTTAGTGGTTTTATAACTTCGAAACCCAACATTATAGTAAGCAAATATGCAATTTGTGGGTGGGTGGATGGGTAACTTTTGTAAGTTGCATGTGCTCTCAAAATACCTCTGTGCGCCACTAAAAATAAATAAACCAATTCTTTTCAGTTTTTTTCGTTCCTAGAAAAGTTACAATTTTTTGTTACAAATAGTTAACATTACTTTTTATTGAAACATAAGACTTTACCTACCGTCAACTCGAATTTATTTGCATACACAAGCAATAAGTCTGTACTCAATAAAGAAAAAATGTTAATATATTAACAAGTTAATTTGTGTACACCAATGTATGAAGATAATTGTACTTGTCTCTTACACCTATCCTACACTGGTTAAAGAGATAAATCCTAAATATATCAATATTATAAATTTGTGCTCATATACCATGGGTAGGTCTAGGGTGCTTTATTGGCAAGTCTCCCCGATGTTAAAATCTGTGTATCAAAGTATAAAAAAAATTAATTTTTTATGAAAAAGTTTCTAAAATACCTACTCCATATTACGTTGGTATGTATATAGACATTTTCTAAATTTTTTTAATCATAGAGTCTAGGGTTGCCATACGTCCTGGTTTGGCCGGGACAGTACCGATTTTGAGTATGGCGTCCTAGTGTCCTATTGATGTTTCAGGACAGTAATCGGTCAAAATATCCAAGGACAAAATATCCAAACCAAAATATCCAACGGTCAAAATATCCAAGGACAAAATATCCAAATTTATCCGTTTTTCTAAAAATTAGTATCAAATTATTTAATGGACTTGTTAGTAGCAATAATATCACAGTTACTATCAATTATGACCGTTATGGGTATTGTTAAATTGAGATATCATTCCGTTTTGACTTCCTGTTTTTACTGTTGGGTTTGATAAATTGCCCAGTAGCAGTAAATTGAACGAATATTTAAACGGTAATTAGTCGCAAACGGATTACTGTAATTAAATTCTGTAAACGTTAAAATTATTTTTTTCAGTATGTTTACAAATTTTCGCTATCGAAAATAGGTATTGCCATTTGAAAATCGAAAGTTGATAGTGTTTTATCAAATAAGGGAGGAAGTTAATATTATCAAAATTGTAACACAGTGTAAAATAGTAAAACCCAGAAAGTTTAAAAAAATTTTTTTTTTTAATTCCTAATACTTCCCGAGATATTAACTAGTTCACGATAAAAAAAATCACCCTGTATTTTGTGATATTATAACGATTAACGTAATTTATTATACTTTTAGTAATATATAGCGTATATAGGTTGAATTAATATTATGAGCTAATTTTTGTAATTTAATATTTAAGCTAATATTTTTAGAAAATTTAGGTTTTTTTATGATTAAATAATTTGATATTTGAGCTAGTTGTATTAGAAAGTAATGTACTAATTTTTCGGAAAAACGAATTAATTTGGATATTTTGTTCTTGGATGTTTTGACATAGATTCTTCAGGACAACCAATTGTCCAAGAATAGACTTCAATAATATATTTATATTTTATTAGACTCTAGTTTGAAAAACCATAATATTGTAATAGTAAAATGAAAAGATGAATAATTGATTAATGAAATCTATTTTCAATTATTTTCCCGGCTAAATGACGATGGTTATTGTCAAATTTGTTCTTCGTATTTTTGTTCCCTCACGATAGTTGTAGTTACCGCTAAATGAATCAACTATTTTTTAATATTTTTTCAGTGAACTATTTACTGTAGTGTAAAACTGTTACATAGAGTATCTATATTACTACCTTATTATACATTATACCTATATTACTTATACTTATACTATATTCAATGTTTATTTCACACCTATTCCGTGAGGGGTATTATACATTTTCATATAGGAGTCATGTGTATTATTATGCATATTATAAGAATAATTAATTAATTAATTGCTGGTTACTGAACTTTTTTGTGTTATTTTTACTGTTGATAACAATTTTCTAACATGGTAACTCATCTTAGATACTATTATCATAATTTGAACGATGATAACAGCTTTAAAATAATTATTTAGGTTTATTTCCAAGACTTGTAAAAACTAATTATGAAATATATATACATTTTATGTTGACGACCTTACGAATGTGCCAATATTATTATTTTTTTTTAATTTAGTGTTAAAATAATTTTATTTTACAATACACAATCAGTATTTGCACTGAAAATTGCCCGTCATAACTATCACAATGAAATCTCCACGAATAAATATCCAATATCGGACGATTTACACTGGCATCCTTCTGCGAATGAAACCATCTGAACTCTATGACCAACGAGTGAATAATGGTCAGTTAATCAATGATGATCATCAACGAAAAATTGTCAAACAGTTAGATAATGTTCATGAATCTTTGACAAATTACTCGCCTTCATCACCAAATATTATATCAAAACTATTGGGTGGTATGAAAGCACCTCCAAATGGTCTTTACATGCACGGATCAGTTGGGTGTGGTAAAACCATGTTAATGGATTTATTTTTTTCTTGTTGCGAAGTAAGTATATTTAATAATTCATATTTTAATTTTACAATATATATGTGACCTGGAATCATTAAAGGGACCTCTGCTGGTTAAAAATCGTTTTTCACTTTTTAATTGATTCCTTTACAAAATATAATGCTCTTTCAAATGAAACTAAGCATAAGTTGATATCTTAGTTTTTGTAGAAATTTCATTGAAAGTGTAAATAAAAAGTTAAAAAAAATGAATGTAACGACAAAAGAAAAACAAATGGATAAAATTTATTTAAAAATTCTTTCAAAGCTATTGATTGCTCTTTTTTTTTTGTTTGGAGCTCATTTTTGGTCATATTAATTCTTTTTCTTCAGGTTTTCGCTGTTCTTTCTTCATTTTTTTTTTAGATTTCAATGGCATTGAGGTTTTGGTTGATTTCGATATTCCTTCTTTTGGCAAAGAAGCGACATCATCTGCCTTATTTTTATTTACGACCAAATCCCAATTATTGTTATATAAATACCACTGCCGCCGTTCTATGTCGAGACCTTATGGAAAAATCATCTCTGGCATATCATCATCGTTTGGTTACAACACCAATTTGAACTCTGAAGCCTACATCATAAGCATACATTTTTGCAATTACACCATCCGCAAGTATTTCAAAGTTGTGAAAACTAGTAATATCCATCAATGATACACCTCGCCATCGCCCACTAATCTTTAAACATGTTTATCTCGAAAAGTTGTTTTTACAGCAGAAGTTCCTTTCATGTTTCCATATCATATATATATTTTTTAATTTTCATAAGTTTTATTTCAAAATAATTTTTATTAAATCTTAAATACATTTTAGTATACAAATAAATTTTATTATCCTAGATCATTAACATAGTAATAAAATTGTCATTAAATTATATGAATCAACATAATCTTTCACAAGTATCTATATTTGTATGGTTTATATTATAAAATTTAATTTTATAGATGGAAAAAAAACGAAGAGTGCATTTTGATGAATTTATGTTAGACATTCATGACAGAGTACATAAATTAAGATTGAGCAGTAAAGAAAATTTTGATTCTATACCAATGGTAGCTGATACAATAATAAAACAATCATGGTTACTTTGTTTCGACGAATTTCAGGTATTTAAAACATATTTTAATTTTTAGTAGTGTATGTCATACTTTTGTGTGCAAAATTTTATTTGTAGGATCATGAATTCTTGCCAGGTGACTGATATAGCAAATGCAATGATATTAAAACGTCTTTTTACCGAACTATTTAATAGAGGTATGGTTATGGTAGCAACTAGTAATCGTAAGCCAGATGATCTATATAAGAATGGTCTACAACGGTTTTTGTTTTTACCATTCATACCAGTGCTAAAACAACATTCTATAACTGTAAACTTGGATTCAGGTATCGATTATAGAGTTATTAGAGCAAAGAGTGGATTTAAATCATATTTTATGTAAGGAAATTTTAAATATTTTAACCTTCTAACTCTTAAATATAACAAACTATTGAATTTGATTTAATTAAATGAATTTAGCATGAAACATAAATAAAATATTTATATTTATAATGCATTGAGACAGTTGATATCCATATTAAATATGATTTTTCCACTTAGAAAAAATCGTGACACAAAAAAAGAATTTGAAGACTATATAAAAAAGTTAACAAATAGTGAAAATGATACTGTTCGATCAAGAACATTAATTATTATGCAGAGAAATCTTACATTTCAAAGAGTATGTGGAAGAGTCTTAGATGCTACTTTTGAAGAACTATGTGATAGAGTAAGATTGTATTATAACTTAAAAATAAATAATATAAATTTGTATTTTAAATTCATAAATTTTTTATGTTTTAGCCTTTAGGAGCAGTAGATTATTTATATTTGTCTCAAATGTTCCATACTATAGCTATTAGAGATGTACCCCAGTTGGATTTGGATTCATTATCACCTATGAGACGATTTATCACACTTATTGATACACTTTATGATAACAAAGTAACCTTACCATACTAATTTTTCATTAAACGGTTTCTAATATAAAAATTGGTTTAGGTGTGCGTTTTAATATATGCAGATAAACCATTAAAAGATTTATTTGTTGCTAAAAAAACTGGTGGACTAGATGATGATCAAATGGTTCTAATGGATGATCTAAATTTAAATACGGATTCGGTAATGTAAAGTATTATTATTAATTAAAATTGTAAATTAAAAAGTAATTAATAACTATAGATTTATATACAATACATAACTAAACATTCCAATAATCTTAAAATAATTAAAATAATTTTAAATACCTTAACTATTGTCATATATTTTAATATGTTTATTACTATTATAGACTGATGCTAAAGCAAATGTATTTACTGGTGATGAAGAAATATTTGCATTTGATAGAACGATATCAAGACTCATGGAAATGCAATCTAGTGATTATTGGAAGAACAATTGTTCAAAATTATAATTTAACTATCTCACAATAGAAGTATATAAATACTTGTACTTAGTTACCATACTTATAAATTAAATTTGTTAAACGTTTTCATTGTTTACTTTAATATATGATGGCATTATTGTTTATTTGTATTAAAAATCTTATAAACAATAATAATTATTATTTAACAGTATTTTGATTTCAGCTCACAATTAATTGTGTATATTCATTTAAAAATTATTAATATCAATCAATATTATACTAAATCATGAAATAATTATTGAGTTTATGATTTTATACTTCAAACGTATATTATAATCATTAAGTGTATATTGTATATACATTTGAGTTTCAACAATTAATTTTTATTAAAATAAAATAATTATTAAACATTAAATGAAATTATGAAAAATTTCATAACATAAAAATAAATATAGTTTTATAAAATAATGATAATTATATGTTAGGGTATACTAACCACCAAATCGAATAAATTTGTTTGTAGAATTTTTCTTCTACTTTTTGATAATTTTTTTAAATTTTAATAAAAATTAAAATTATTTATCCTTTTATAAGTTTTTATTAAAATACATACTTAATTTTAATCGCAGCATAACTTATTTCTTCAAATAAGTATTTAAATTTAAGATATTCCATATTTAAATGATTAAAAAAAAAAAAAAGTTAAACCTCATTTAATAATAATCAATAAAAGCTTAATGAGTTAAATTATTTTCTAAATAAAATTCTAACAATATTTTTGAAAAGATAACAATGAATAAATAATTTATTATATATGTATGATTGAGATATGAAAATTACTTAAATCAATTTTAGATGAAAAAAATGTAACACTAATATTTGTTAGATAAACATGGGTTTCTATTACTATGAACAATGCTTTCATTTGGAAAAGTTTTAATTTGAAATATTTTATATACATAAATTCAAACTCCATAGTATAAAATATAATATAACAATTAATATTTATCATTAATAGTTGGTTGTAAATTCATAACCATAACTTGTATTTTAAAATAAATATGCATAAAATTATTCTAATTTAAAATAAATCATTTACTTATTATGTGTAATATTTATCATGGTTTAATGAAGTCATCAGACATTCTGATCAAATTGCTCTGCTGTAGTCTTTAATTTTAAGCTATGTTGATAATACGTAATTTTTATTTATACTTCTTAGTGTTTTGGTGTTTACACAAAAAATTTCAATAGCAGTAATAATATATGAAACCCCAATTTTTTATATTAATTTATTATAATTAATACAAAAGCTTTAAAATATTTACAAATACAAAAATAGTATTAGGTTATACAGATCTGCATATTATAATAAATATAATACACAAAAAGTTACTAGAAGTAATGAAATTTTTATGTCATAACAGCAGGGCCGTAGCAAGGGGGTGGCCAGAGGTGCCTACGCTCCAGGCGCAATTCCTGGAAGAGCGCAAAAATTAAAATCTTGCATTTAATGTTAAAAATTACAACAGTCAATGTCGTATATTTTGTTTACCAAATCTTTAACATCCTTTATATTAACTAAAGCAATCATTGACAAATAAAATCTAATAAACATAATATTTTTAAATTAAAAACACATAAGGACGCATTATGAAATTTCAGCCTGGGGCGCAATGTTTGGTTGCTACAGCACTACATTACAGGTGAATTGTTACTAGCCAAAAAAATAAAGTATTTAATCATCTGTTGTATACAAATTTTTATTATTGTAATTTTTACAATACATTTTAATGTGTTTATTAGTGTTTTTATATTTAAAGTAAATATTATGGTGTATAACAATTAGACATACTCAGTATTCTGTTTATAGAAGATTATGTTTATTTAGGTTATATTGTTCAATCAATTGTTTTTAAAATTTGAAATAACTTAATTTTTATTTTATAGTAGAAAACAATTTTTTATATGACATCAAAACTTTCCAATACAAAAATATAAAAAAAAAATTTATCTTCAAGATATAAGAATCCAAGAATTCAATTTTAAATCTAATTGATTTATAATTGAAACAGAAAATTTTCTTTATATGAAAATCCATAGAAATTAGAAGAATATTGCTGATAAATTTGTAATAAATATGACTATTTCGGTTCTCTTATTTTTTTATACTTGACTTAAGACATTATATTAATTTCATCTCAACTCCTTCAGGTGAAAGTATAACTTTATTGAGACTGTGGTGCTGCAGCAGTTGCAGCTGCTGGTTTGCTCCTATGTGTTGCTGTAGGTGTTACTTGTTGAACAGCTGAATCTTTAACATGTTTATCCACCTATAACATTAAAAATCCAAATATTCAATTAGTTGAGAGGAATTTCAGCACAAAAAATAAATTAACAATATTTCCTATAAATGAATATACATTGTTGTTGAAATATAATATAAAATGTTCATAATTTTAAAGATATTTGTTTATTAAAAAGTTTAACTCTCAATTTAAATAAACATGGGAGAGAAAAATATATCGACAATACAGCCTTATTTTGTAGTCCCCCGGAATTACCACCGGATTGTAAGTTAAATTAAGTTTAAAGTAGATCAATGCTATGAATTATTAATTTTATAGGAAATAGATTTATTTTTTCTGTTTATAAAAGAAGTATCGACAAAATTGAATAATGCATCTGTTCTATTCTAGTATCAATCTATTGCTAGATATTTTTATTATATATTTCATTTTTTAAAAAAGTATTGTGAATTTTAAATTTATTACTTGTCAATAATATTTTTTCCTGCAGTAGGTTAATATAGTTAAGGTTGTCTTAAGGAAGTTTTTAATCAAATCTAACTTAATTTCTAGTTAGAGCTATTTCAAAATTTTCTATTTTACAGAATATTTACATCTTTAAAATCTAACAATGTTTTCATCATTTTTCAACTGTATGAGATATTTGTCATTTAATAAACCTTGATAGATACTTCAAATTTCTTACTGGAAAATTATTATTAATAAAATAAATAATCCAACAGCTTTTCAATCAATAATTAAATTTCATCAAATAATTTATTGTAACTTATTTTCATTATTTCAATTTACTTCAAATATTAGTATATTAACTGTAAATGTATAAATTTATAAATGTTTTATACTTAACTTATGAAAATATTTTAGTTTAACTTAATTAAATACAAATCTCTTCAAATATAAAAATTAATTATACAGCTCATATTGTATTTTTAATAATCATACATCAATAATAGTTTTTAAAATAACACAAGCAAAATAGTTTATAATCATACTATTTTTATAGTCAGATAATTAAACTACTTGAATGATCAGTTTGTTAAACAAAAATCAAACCCAATAATATTTATAATAACTTAACTCATTTTTAAATTATTTTAAATTTTTAAATTTTTTTCCTTTAGGAAAAACATGATTTGTCATAATTTTTTAGTTTATAAAAATGAAAATACATAACAAACCTTATATGAACCTTATCATTGGAAGATTTTATTAATTTAAAATAATATTATTAGGATTTTTTTTTAAATAGAAACCGGTTTTTCTTATCAAGTTTATTTGTATCAATACTAAACTAAATTTCAAATTTATTATCTGCTTTAATATCAAAATAATATTAAGTATCATTATTTTGAATTTTACCTTGATTTATTGAAGATTAGATAGATTAGATAAAATTAAAATAAAATTCTAGAAACAAAAAAATAATTACTTAATAAATACTGGTTTTCAAGGAAATAATATTATTAATGTTAATATAACTTAGTAATAAGCCCTATTTAATAGCAATACAACTAAACAAGTAAAATTTGTCTCTTGATAAATTACATTATTATAAACCTTGCAATAAATCTTGTAATAAAAATGTTTATTCTAAATTACAATAGATCCCAAAATCTAATATTATTGTGCTTAACTTACCTGATTTTTTCTCTCCGCCCTTCATTTATACTTTGTAATTATATTTTGTATTAAATAACCCAAATATCAATAAAATCCATTTAATTTTTACAAATTATTCCTACATTAACATTTTACAATACATTTCATATGTCTTAACATTATTTATTGTTGTTTCTTTGGTTATATATTTTTTTCATAGTAGATTTATATTGAAATATTATGTAATACATTTTATTTGTGGTAATTTCTAATGACTTCAAATATAAAAAAATGTTTTGTAATTATATTTATTTATTTGACACTTAGAAAAAAAATATAATAATCATAATAATAATAATAATAAATAAGTTTTTATACAATTTTTTCTGATAAATTAAAACTTAATTAATTAACAAATCAATTTGACTACATTTCAATAAAATACTGAGTACAATTTCTAGTGATATCATTAAATTAGATGAAAACAAATTATTAAATTAATTTTTATTTATTATTAAATACTGACTTGAATAAATAAAAAAAATAAAATATTTAATCAAATTACACTATTGAAATAGAAAAAACCATTAAAATGTCCTAACTATACAATTAAACAAATGAATATAATTCAAATTGTTTTCAGTTATTGTCTACTTACAATATTCTTTATGTATAAAATAGCTTTATCCTCTGGATTTCCAATGCCTTTAACATTTTCAGGTTTGTAAGGTGGGCTAATTATCACATGGTCATAGACCACAATATTCTGCCCTTGCCAAGATACTTCTGGAATCCTAAATACACAATATAAAACGCATTAACATGCATAAAAAATGATTTTTTCAATATCTTACGTTTTGGTTATAGTCAAATACAACTTTTGTGCCTCAGGAGAAACATTGGCAGACATAGCTGATATCTGACGTTTCTTATCTTGTATTTGAGTTTTTATTCTATTATTTAACTATAACAAATTATAAGCAATGTTAAACTTCAGAACTGATTATATTTATAGAGTGATTATATCATACCCTATTTAAATTTAACGAAGGCAAAGGTGGTGGATTAAAACTAGATTCCTTTTTGACTTGCACGTCTTTGGCAAAGGCTAAGTTCACTATATTAATATTGTTTAACAGTGGATTATTACTAGTTGATGGACATTCTGATAAATCATATTAAGGAAATCAACAATTGCAAAAAGTTATGATTATAATTAATGTATAACAATAAAAGTATTTACAAATTAAAGCTCCTGGTCTATAATGTCAAAAAAATTAATTGGAAATTTAAATAAATAACATTTTTAAAACAAAGCAATTATAAAATTTGTTAAAAATAAATAGTACAACAAGCACAATTGTTGATAAGAAAAAAAAATGAATTATATGAATTAAGTAAGCTATTTAAAATAAATTGTATGGTTTAAAATTTATTTTTATATTTTTATATCAATGGTTTGTACAAATTACTTTAATTAATTTAATTTTTAAAAAACATTTATCAAACATAATTAATTAAAAGTTTAAATATTGATTATTTATAAACAATTGATTACATACTTTAAATAGAGTACTTAAAATATGTTTTATTATCTAAATTAATGTTAAGAATGCATTGAAATATATTTACTTAAATAGTTTGCATGGGATTTGATTAAATAACATTTTAACACTAAAAATTAAAAAAAAAAAAATATTGGTCAATTAGATATATTATTGAACTACCAATAATAGAAATAACATAAATACTAATTAGACAGTAAAATAATTAAACAATTATATTTTTTAATTTAAGACATTTTTACTTCATGTATGCAGTTAAGTATTGACAAAAGTTCAGATAAAGTAATCAAATATTAAATTATGGTTATGTGATAACCATAACTATATTTTACTATAAACAAAAAATACAGAACAATCATAAAAAATAAAAACAAAATATTAGAGCTGATAATTTTTTTGAATGTGTAACATATTTATACAGCATTCATTTTTATCATTTTTAATAAAAATATTAATACATTTTATAGAAATATTTTCACTTAATCATTAATCAAGTTTATTTAATAGTTAATAAATAAAATGTTAATTTAAAAAATTACAATATATTAAATGAAAGCTTTAAGCATAGTAACTTTTGAAGTAAAATATCTGTAATGTATAAAACAAATGAAATAAGATAATATTTCCATATGATTTTAATCTGTAGACATATTTTTTTACAAATCAGCCAATATGTATCAGACTTATGATAAGTATTTTATCAAAAAATAAAATATGTGGGTTATAATTTCTAATTTTCTGACTATTCAAGAAATTATGTTAATTTAATTTGAAGTTAGTATAAAGGAATTACCCAGTAGTATATTTATGAATATATTAGTATTATACTTAATAATTTGTGCATATTATATGACTGGAAACATGAAGGAATAATACATTTAGGTACAAAATCCTTAAAGAATGCATAGCATAAAAATTTGATAACATGGCTAATTGAAATCTGAAAAAAAATAGGATTGACAAAACTTATCGGATCACATACTTGGTTTCCGAAACAATCCAAGGGACAGAAAATTATGCTTATAATTATGAATAGAACGGGTAGTGAAATCAGATAAAACGACAAAGCTAATTAAAGAACACCGGTAAATATGGTCTCAAGACATCCTCGAAAGGCGTATGCACCCCTGGGTTAGGTTAATGAGTTTTAGGGTGATTGATGGCAAGAAAACTACGGGGGATGTAGCGGCTTATCTACGGCGGGTGAGTTAGTGGTAGCTCGTGATAACGGCGACAAATGTGCTACGCACGGAGGGGGAGTAGCCACCCGTGGATCGAACGACAACGGGCATGGGAAACCCAGTGTGCCTACGCGCTCACGTTTACAGTAAAAGGATACTCAATATCAGCATCTTCGTGGTGGGCTCGAAGCCGAGCACTTCGCCCTCGATCTCCTCGTCGAAGCAGTTGGTGCACATGACGACGCTGCCGACGGAGAAACACTCGTTGACACCGGCCATTTTGTGTTTCCCATAAAAGTTTACCGCCATCAAACGCGAACGAGGGCACGCACCGACCGACCGGGCGGGCAGCTGCAACAGTGGCGCGCGACGAAGACGTTGACGACGACGGCGGCGGCGGCGGCGGGCGACCTGCAATAGTGGTGGCAGGCAAATGCGATCGGCCGGAGCGTGTGATACGGCGACAGTCGCGGCAGACACTTGGCAGTGTTTGATATCGTCGTTGTCGCGGCGGCGACGGTGGCGCGTACGGTACACGGACGTGCGACGGCACTGGTGCACAACGCGGCGTCGGTGACGGCGGAATATTACGGACGGTCGCGACGACCAACGCGGATCCGAAACTCGCGCGCGGTTTACCGGAAATTAATATTTCTTCCCTCTCGCTCGGCACTCGTCACCGTCTAAAAATAGTGCTCGCACGCGAATATCGGTTCCGTGGTCGGACTTAACGTGCGCTGCGACGACGAGATAAAAAAAAAAAAAAAAAAATCCGCACTCACGGCAATATCGTAACGTGTGCGTGTGTAGTATATGCGCGCGCGCGCACGCGTGTGTGTGTGTGCACGCGCTCGTGCGTGCAACCGAACGGACGGAGTGGTGGGGGCGAAACGGTGAGCGCGGTACCAATGGTACGGGCGCGTTGAACGAACGTGCCGGCGAATATTGATAACGCGCCGCCCGGTGTTCACGACTGCCGCGGCGGTGACGGCGTGCACCGGCGACCTCGACGTGACGTCACGCGTGAACCCTTCACCACCGTCCCGCCGCCCGTCGACGATACGCACCGCTGTGCGAGACACGTTTCTCGCGGACTTTCCCGTTTCGTTCCTGTCCCGCCGCCCAGCGGTTCTTACAGAGCGGGCCGATTGGACGCGCGGACCTTTCCGGGTTTTCGTTCAATCGCACGTATCTCGTGTATTCGTCAAGGATATGGTTAATGCTTATAGATAATCTATAATTAATATAGATTAATGCTTAAAATCTGAAATGCAATTCTCGTGTGCGCTGGTCCACTGCTACAGTACGGGACAGACTACACCCAGAACAACCGGATCACTCGCGCGTTTTGCGCCGAACCCGCCACGCTGCCGACGCCGTTTTTTCGACGACAACGCGCACACGGCGAAGGAGAAGGTTTTCAAGTTCGACCGTGACTGTATAACTTATACACAGTATAAGTAGCAACTAATCAGCCGTTTGTCGTTAATGTATATATTAAAATATTAATAAACGGACCAGTGAACATTATTGTCTTCCAGGGACTAAAATTGTGTGCAGTACGACGCACTTTGTGTAATACGAAATTTTAAGTGTGCAGTACGAAATTAAAAAGTGGCTTGCGGTTTTATTCTCTATATTATGACATTTGTTTTTAATTTTACGGGGGTTTTTTTTTTTAAATTATCTTACATATTTTTAAAACTCCAAATTGTATCATCGACAAAATCTAGAATACCAACTATCTTAACGTGTTACTCATTACTAGAGCTCGGATGATAACCAACATTTTATAAAAATATGCGTTTAGAAATGTCAAAATATGCAATTATATGCCATAAAATGTATTAAATCTGGTATACCTATTTTTAAACAAATATATGCAAAAAAAATAAAAATAGTTAATATTAATTCAAAAAATGTATATAATCACTTGGACGAGAAGCTTTTGCCAAATGTCCATTTAAAGAGGCAAAATCATTGCCACAAACTAGGTGTTTGGATTTTGAGTTTAATGGGTTTTGGTCGCGTTTAGCTTCTAATTTTGATTGGGCCAAGGCTTTGTTTTGTGGATCGCTTATGGACGTCATGCCCGTTGATATAAATGTGACGGTGACCTGACAAGCGAAGATATTACCCTTGCAGGACGCTCATATAGGCAATCACTATGGTTTTTTTGCACGACTTCTACCAAAAAGAGAAATCACAATTATAAAAAAAAATGAAAATTTCGTTATCTTAGTACATTAAGGGGGAGATAAATTTATGAATTTTCCAACAGTTTTTTTTAATAATTACGAAAACCCATCGAAGAATTATAAAAAAATAAGCGACAATATTTATGGAATACAGTGTTTCGATAATAAAATTACATTTTTTTTTTTTATCGTAATCCAAAAAATAATAATTACCGGTATAATTTTCTAAAGATAAAGCCTTTTTTTTAAGATATAAATATATGTTATGTTTCAACATTTCAAGCATTCGTAATTATTTCGTCAAAGATAAAATATGGTAAAATTATAGTAAATTCTGGAAAAATATTTTTAAAAACGTAATAAAAAGTTTTTTTTACATATCTTCCAACTAATAAATAGGAATAAAACAATTGAGCGTGATTTATTATTAAATGTGGACTAAACTCAACAAAAATAAGAAAAATTCGCTACATTTTTCTATTTAAAAAAGCTTAAAAAAAATGTTATAATTAAAAGTTGAAATTTATATACAAGATTTTTCATAACATTTTTTAACGTAGTAAAACAAAAACAAATATACCGAAAAGCCACAAAATAGTTTTATAAACTTAAGAAAATTATATATTGATGGAATTGGACATTTTAATAAGTATCAATTATACTTGTACGATATTAGTCATTATGCTGTTATTTTATAAAATATATTATTCATAGCGACTCAAAACCAAAACTGAGTGCTTATGATAGCATTTTTATGGTATTTAATAGTTTCTTAATATTTAAATACATTTTTGATTTTTATATGGACATTTTATTTTTTCAATCGATTATCGTTTGATAATACAGACTTTAAAAAATTGCATTATTAGTCGTTATTAATCGATATTAAATTATATTTTGCATATTTGTAACTATTGGTGATTTAGTTTGTTAGTTGTTTATAGTTATAGAAGAATATTTAGTTGATTTATATGACGTATCAAATAACTTCCTGAAGCATAATACTGATTGAACATTGATATCAAATTCGAATAAATTAAATTTTTCTATTCATTCGCATTTTGATTTTAGAGTTTGAAGATTTTATTTCAGAAAAGTAATTCAGTACCTGTTCAGAACAACAATTACAATTATGGAGATTGTGTCAATGGTGTCTGTACCCAGTTCAGGAGATACTAAGGATAATGGCAACAGCTATGATATCGTATTTCCAGCTTTGCCAGTTTCAAGGACATCGAACACAATTGGGACTGTACCGTTTAAAAAACAGAGTAGTTTTAAATCTTCAACGGTGACCGAAGTAATTTATCATGCCATTTTAATAGTAATTAATAAGTATTAGAACGATCAGTTTGATATAGACTTGTAACACGATCGCATGTTAGTGCGATTATAATTTGTTCGTTACCGCGATTTTAGTTAAGTTAATTTATTAGTTTATTTAAGTTGAATTAGTTAGTTCACGGTATTATATTTATGTAGCTTTACTTTCAAGATGGACCACATACCCTCTCCGCTTACTACCAATCCAAACGGTCGCTGTTATCATAGCCTATTTTTCCTATCAATACTGGGAAAAACACTAAACCATTAGTTTCACCTAATCGCTGTCTTTTCGAGCGAAGTGGACAAAGAAATCAAACTCGACACCTCTTGTGACGTTCATAATATAACCAGAGAATCTATTGTTTACCATCAATATAAAAACATTAGGTCACTATATTTATATATATATATATATATATATATATCATATGCTCTATTAGAATTAGATTCCCGCAAATTAATTTCAAACTGGGCATACGCTTCCGCTGTTCTTTGTTGAAATTAATCCAAATACAAATGATAAAATAATTCTTAATGAATCATCAATGTTGCACACAAAAATTTAAGTTGAATTATCCAATAAGACTTATAGTGATTCACCTCAGTGTCTAAAATGACATAGCTACGGTCACAATGTTAACTGTTACCATCACCATACTGGAAATAATGGTGACCCTTAATCCTTCACGCTGTGTTAAATGTGGGGGAAATCACTCCTCGAACTGTTACATCAAAAAGAAAGGCAGTTCAAACAAGTGCGACTTTTGATCATACTTTCAACTATAAAGGTTGTCCTGAACATAAATTACTTCTTAAACGTCGCAAAACAACCCACTTGTTATCATCATAATAAAAATATTGCACTCACGTCTCCTTTTATCAAACCTCTTTCCAAAGTTTCTTGCGCCTCCATCACTGGTTCAAAATATATCCTATTACTTAATAGTCCTATGGACGATATACCTTTTTCCAATTTATCTCAGGTCTTCTGGCATTAATAAATCTATTATTTTCCTTCTTTTATTATTATAGCTCTTCTATGCAATCACCTTACTCCTAAGCCCATATTATTTTCTACCTTATACATTTAAATTATCGCGTCTTTAACCACTTGATATGTTATCCGTTATTTGTAAATTTTAATTAATCAATCAAAATGAATTCTTATTTTATGATTAGGTATCTTAAATTATTATATTTTACTAATATTATTTTATGATAACGATTATTGTATATTAATGTTAAAATGCATACTTAGTTATCTTACTCACATGATTTAATTGTTGAACTATAATAACTTTGTGTTAAAAGTTAAATAAAAAATAAAAAATAACATATAAATTATAGAATGATAATTTATATATTAAAGAACATCATTATTATGATTTTAAATAACATTTTTCTGTATGAATAGTAATATTTAGAAAGTTTTTGTTGATTTATATCTAGAATATAAATAAAATAGTATCTTAATTTTTATTTTGTAAAATTTGTAGATAATTACAATACCTGCCCAAGATAGAAATTGGGACAGGAATAGTCAATTAGAGCAAGAAAAATCTAAGAAAGTATATATAAAAATTGGGAAAGAGTATAATGTAGGAATAGAGATTTGTATTTCAAAAACCATGGATCTGACTTTACTGATCAGTGGCAATAGAGTTAATGTTGAACGAGCAAAACAAAAGATTATCACAATCGACCAAACTCAAGTAAATAAGTTTTAATTAAGTCGGAATTAATAAGATAAACTGATAAAAATATTTATTATATATATATATATTATATTGTTGTTTACAAATTATGAATAATTTATTATTATTATTATTATTTAATATTATAATACATAAATGTGCAAAATAATGTAAAATGTTTGATGAATCCATTTGTTATTTTATAGTTTTATTACGGATAAATAAATAAAAATATATTTTTTTTTTAAATTTTAACTAAAACATTAAAATTTCAGATTAAAACTACTACTACACCGTTTCCAAAAGAACATCGAAGTACGTTATTGGGCAAACAAGGACTTAATCTTAAGAGTATTGAAAAACGTACAGGAGCACGTGTTCAAATACCGTGTATGAAAAATTCGGCTGACATAATTTATATAACTGGAACAAAGGATTCTACGAAAAAAGTAGTTCAAGTATGTATTAAAAATATGTTTTAATGAATCGGAATTTAAGTTTAACACATTAAAGTAAATTCATTTTCGAAAAGAATGGCTGGAATGAATAGGTTGAAGAAAAATTGACAAAATAGTGTATATTTTTAAAGTGGTTAACTGTGACCGTACTAGTTTATTTATTTATTAATTAAATTAAAATTAAATCTTTTAATAAATATTTGAAAATTTAACGATTTCTAAATTAAAATGTCGATAATTTTTATTATACTTTTATAGTAAAAAATAAATTAATGAGGATTTTAATATTGAATTTTGATATAACTCTATACAAATTCAATGAACTTTTAATTTTAATATTATAGGTTTAAAAGTTTTTAAAAGATTTCTGATGTTTTTTTTTTAGAAAAAAATGTACAAGTATTATGTATTAACGAAATCTAGTATTTTAACAAATTTCTTTCGTAATTTTGTAATAATTAAAATTTTTGTTAGGAATTGGAGGAAATTATATTTAAGTTGAAAAGTAAAATTGAAAAGGAAATAATAATTGATCAACGTCACCACGGAGCGATAATTGGATTCAATGGTGAAAAAGTTCGAAAACTTCAGAAAATATTTAATGTTCAAATTATATTTCCCAGTCCAGGTAATTAATAATATTAATAGTATTAATATGTTTGTTTTTTTTTGTGTTTTGACCGTTAATAAATAATATTTGGTTCGATATTTTAGTCGAGGCTAGAAATAATTTAGTTAAAATACGAGGTTTGAACGATGATGTAAATAAAGCATTTAAATCATTAGCTGAATTGTCCGAAGTATTGGATGAAACCAACTATGTGTTGAAAATTCCTATTTTTAAACAATTTCACAAACTTAGTGCTGGAAAGAGAGCAGTATTTATTAAAAAGGTAATTATTATTTATTAACTTTTGTGATTCGACCTTTAGAAATATTGTTATTTATATAATTTAATATTCTAGATTAGAGAAGAGACTGATACGAGAATTTTTTTACCACGTGAAGGAGACAATAGTGATGTTATTAAAGTCATGGGAAATAAAAGAAAAGTTTTAATCGCTTATGATATGATTAAAGAAATACAAAATGAAATAGTTGGTTTTTTATAAAAATTATTTATATTTCAATTTTATTATGAATTTATCAAACATGTATTTTTAGGAAGACATAATAACAAAGGAAATGGTGTTAGGAAATGTTAAAGTTAGAAATGCAATTGTAAATCTTGGGAATAAATTCATTCAATCTATAAAAGAAGATTGTGGTAGTAATGTGACATTGAATTTACCAAATCTTAAAGGAGATAATGTAAGAATATACTTATTTATTAAACTTATAAATTAAAATGACAATTTAACCAATTGTATAAGTTATTATATGCGTGGTATACACTCAGACATCGATTCGAACCTGGCATCTGGCAGTTTCTCTCTTTGAGCAGGAGACGATTGTCTCAAGAAAAGAAACTGCTTCCCCTCCCCTAATACAATAAGTAAATTTTCAAGATAATTTCCCAAATGCTAAAATCTATAAAACTAGTGAACAGTTATTTTAAAGCTAAAATTTAATTCATAGACTATAGTTATCAAAGGACCTGAAGATGATGTTAAAAATGTTATTACACAAATTCAGACAATGGTTGATGAAGTTCATAAATATGTGTATGATTTAAAAGTAAATCCGAAGTTTCACAAATATTTAATTGGAATAAATGGAGTCAATGTTAAAAAGGTATGTTGTTAAAATAATTTATTAAAAGGGTACAATGTGTTAATTTATGATTTTATACCTGGATTCCAGATCAGATATTTAACGAATACAAGAATAATTTTCCCGCCTGAAACTGATTCCACTAATGAAAATATAACTATTGTTGGTAAAAAAGAGAATGTTAATAAAGCAAAAGCAAAATTTGAAGTTATGATAACCGATATTGATAATGTCATCAAAGAACATGTAAAAATCAATGAAAAATATCATGGCACTTTAATGGTCATTCAAAAAGAATGTTTACACAAAAGCTTGCGTTAAGTACAACCAATTGTTTGTTTTGATTTTTGGTAAAAATAAATAATAAAAACTTTTTTTTTTTTCAAAATCTCATCAACGTCTTTTATTGTTAGATTAGTCAAAATAATAAAATTAATTGAAATATAATTATAATGAAATAAAATATATTATATACGATAAATTTAATATAAAAATTACTATATTAACAAATTTATTATTAATTGTTGATTATGTTTTTTTTAGTATTTTGGGTTTGGCCCCCTCCATTTTAAAATCAAAGAGTTGAGCTATTGTTGTACTATTTGTTTTTTCTAAATGTTCACAATTAACAAGCATGACTTCACCAGGCATTTTAGAAGTATAACTCTCTAAAAACTCTTTGAATTTAAAATTATTTACCTTGTACAGTGGAATATTAGCTGATAGTAATGCTTCAGCAAGATCGGAATTAAAATCACTTTTCTTATTTGTATTTTGTGTAAATAACGGTTGAACTGTACTTTGTTTGCGTCTTTTTCGGAGATTTACTGCATATTCATGCTTTGCAGTTTTTCAAGTGTTGTGTTACTAAAAATCGTTTACTTGTAGATACTTTAACTTCATACAATTTGCAAAATAATATTTTACCATCGGAACTAAATACATGTTCCCCAAATTCTTTGACAAAACTACTTAAACTTGACGAACATTTCGGCATTTTGTGAATAATAATTTAAAAAAAAAAACGTGTATCAGAAAAATTGTATAGTTGAATAAACACAACAACACAACATATGAGGACTGCAGCAAACTGAAAATATTTAATGTCAACAAAATATAAACTTGTCGAAAATGTAGATAAAACCCATCCAAGCAGTCAATCTATACTGTTATACAATATACTTACCTATACCTAGGCTATAATATTAATCTATTAACGATATGTGATAAGATAATGGTCATCGACAGGCGATTATGAGATTCGTGTATACATAGTGATATAAAATAATTAATAAATATGTGAGTATGAGATAAATATGCCATTAAATCTATAAATGATCAATATATGCATTTATATGCTCAAAAATGTCAAATATGCAAAAATATACAAAAAAAAGTTGTATATTTGTAATATAGAATTTATGAATCAAATTTGTATCCCACTCCAGTGTAATTCTGGCTGCGCGAAAAAAATATGCTAAGTCATGAACATCCGAGCTCTACTCATTACTGTTAACGTTTGAACGGGGAACATGACAAAATCCTTAAGTGTGCAATACGAAAATTGATAACCTAACCTGTGTTTTCTTCATATTCGTCTCTTAATGCTTGAGTTATTGTTATTTGTAAATCATTTTGAGGTCAATGCAGTATTTAATAAAACTATAATTCTTTGTTTTTTTGAAATATGGAAAAATTTACTATTTTCGTAGAAATAAAATACATTAAATAATTGTGTTGACAGTTTTTTAACTAGATAGCGTGATTGATTTAGAACATTTGATGATGTGTCATTATTGAAAACTATTAGGTAATAGAATATCGTAGCCCTTAGTTCAAAGGTGCAAATATGAAATTTCAATGGAGGGAGGCTTCAGCCCTAACATTTTTTACTAAAAATTATAAATCGAGGCTTTGTCCCTATACCTTTAAATTATCCAAAAAAATCATTAAATTATTATTATTATTTGTAATCACTAAGAGCTATAATATTGCAAGATAAAAGCTTAGTTAATATAAAAAATTACAATAATTTATAAAAATTGATTTATACGATGTAAAATGATAATAAATCGGGGGGAAGCTAAATTCACATTAGGAGGGGCTTAACCTCATCCTATTTGCGTCTAAGACTTAGTTATTTTTCAAAGAAATTGAATTTGTTGTTTTGAATGGATTTTCGCGTGCAGAGACTGTTATGAACTCATAATTCTACAAAGTTTTTTTTAAACCTATTAAGCTATATTATATATTTTAAATAAAATACTTTATTTGATAATATTTTCGTTTATTAAAAGAAAATAAAAACTTTTTTAATAAGTAAGTAGAATATTATGAATGATTTCTGCATGCTTCGCAGTATATAGAATATTCTATACTAAATTAAATGTAATATCTAGATCCAACATAGTAATTTATGACTTAAATTAAAGTTCAGAGATTTGTATTCAAATTATTTATTCGAGTTTGACATTTTGGGTGTTAGAGTTATTCATATTTCAGACCACCGCAATTAAAAATATATTGAAAAGTTTGAAAATATGTGTTGGTTTAAAATTAAAATAGGCCAATATAATATTAAATAAAATAATACATCACTGATTACGAAAAAAAAAGAGGTCATATATGAGAAGATTTAATTAGTGTTTGGTGTATCTATCTCAAAAAGAAGTATGTATACCTAATTTACCTCATTTACATTTTTTGTAGAAAAAATACTTCATTTCCATTCAACATTCATTAGTTCCTAAACAAATGTATATTAATTTACCATATACCTACTGTCATATTTTGGTGCATGAAATAAATTCATTTAAGAATGTACGGCAATCGGCAGTATCAGCTCTTTCTATATTATTGTTTTTTTTTTTTTTTTTTAAATATATTGTATTATTCACTTGTATTATTTCCATTATTCCGTAGTATTTGGAATGAATAACGTATTCTATATTTTTTGTTTAATAAACTTTTATGATTAATAATTTAAAATTTAATTAATTAGACAATGGAACGATCTAACATCTATATCTGTATATACCATATAAGACATTTACATTTTAACGTTCATTTATATATTTTACTATACACAAATCCATATATCCGACTATGGTCTATTTGCTACAAATATTAAAATCTAGAATTAATATTTGACATAATTTCAATATTAAATAAAATATTAAATTTTATGGATATCTGAAAACAATGAAAACTGTGTTTAATTTATCTCTTATAAGAATGATTAATTAAATTTTTCTTCTTGTTCATTTACATATTATAATTGTTGGCAACTGTTGCTTTTATCTCGACAGTAAATAAATAATAATAAAAAAAAATGAAATAGGTTTGATAACATTTTTTTTGTTATAAGTTTAATCCAGTGATGGCCAACCTTTTTTCCTCGGCGAGCCACTTTGGTAAACAATTATCTTAGAGCGGGCTACTAAATATAAAAGTATGAATGATGTCAATATCAACCTAATCATGTTATTTTATTATACAAAGTGGGTATACAATGTAAATGTAGGTACATATTGAATTTGTTTTCAAATATTTTACGGATTACTGAAAAGATTACAGATACACGAGATACACGCTGTAGATACATATTAATTTGACCAGTACATTTTTTCAAGTGCACGGGTTACATCGTGAAATTTCTATTCGAAATGCTCAAAAATCAAATTATTACATTTTTTGTATTTTATTTAATTTTAAAAAAATTGTAACGGGCCACATGTGGCCCGCGAGTTGGGCATCACTGGTTGGGTATAGTCGAATTGCATTTGGGTTTAAAAAAGGTAATGGTCAAACTGCACTCGTGTAAAAAGCAGGTAGTGGTCGAAATGCACTAAGGCTCAAAAAATTATTTGATTAAAATTATCATGCATTCGAAGGTGTTAGATTTATTTTATTTAGCTACATTTAGTATCATTTAGTAATCATTGGCGTGGTTAAAAATGATTGTTTTATTCATCACATTATGTTAATTATATATATTTACATTATAATTATTATACTATATTATATTATACATATTATTATTGTAAGTTTTTTTTTTTTTTTTTAACGTCAAATTTAACTATCGTCATTATTATAATTCTTTTTTTGTTATTTCGATCATTTTTTGTAATAATAACTAACTGTATTCAAAAATTCTACCCAGGTAATACGCTTCTGAGTACATAAATCAATATATTTTTGAATATTATTATTTTTTTTTCTGGTACCGTGTTGTTGATGGTCTAATGCCAGTGTTCTGCATTACAATATAGGTGTCGATTTGTAATTGTGTTAAAACATCAACAAATACAAATATATTTGAATGTGGTGATGAAAATGATTTATTGAATTTCGCATGGAAAGACTCATATGCATTAGTAGTTCTTTGACTAGAAATCTTATCTGAAGCCCAAATATGAGGCGGAAAAAGTCCTTCGTCAGAAATATAATTATCAACTAAATAGTCACTAAATTCTTTAACAGTGTAGTTTTCTGGGATAGTTGACTTAAAATCATCTGTATAAGATTCGCCAAATTCAATTGCATTTAAAAAACTTAAACCAAATATATTACGAAGCCATTTTCTAATTTCTGTTTCAGATTTGTAATCAGTTGAAAGCCCTAAATTTTTTATTTTACGATACCATAATTGTGATAACTGGAATCTACATTCTAGTATTTTACATAAAGGGTAATATGTGTGAGTTCAAAATGCACAATAATACATTTTATCGTATATTTCATTTTTCGATTTGAATCGATAACATATAATAAAAGTATGGCACAGGGAAAAACTACTATTGTATCAATGTATGCAATGTAATATTATACTTTTACACACGTTATATTTATTCATTTCATGTACCTACAGGCAGCCTCGTTTAGGGGGGAAGGGGGTCTCTTGGTTAAAATTGACCAAGGGACGAATGCCAAATTATCGAAGGGTTTTATGCCGCAAAATGACTAAGACCAAAAAACTGAAATTTAATCATATCTAATCGAAAATCATCAATCAGTAACAATTTTAACGACGACCCTATAGCAGTATAAACGATAGGTAAATATTAAAAACATCATATCGTTATAATATAATTTGAAAAATGATTTACTGAATAAACTATTTAACGAAACATAATAATTTAATTTAATTTATAAATAAAAAAATATTTTCTATAGGTCTAATATTTGTGATACACTCAGTGTACTACTTATCACAAATATTAGTGCCAGATCTAGAAAATTTGACTCCTTGGGCTGATAAAAATACGTCCTTACGTAAGTGAAAATATGAGGTATGTTCATAAATTTTTTTATTATTTCATAAATTTAAGAGCGCTCTTATACCAAAAGCGCCTAGGACAAACATATCCACATGTCCTTCCCACCTCTTTAGATTCGGCACTGTCAAGTATTAAACGTATATTATATATATATATATATATATATATGTAGATTCTATTGTAAATTCTATTATAAACTAAAAAAACTGCTAGAATCTGAAAATTAACTACATTTCATGATGATTAATTTTCTAATAATTAAGAATCTTTTTAAAATTTAGTTCAAACATTAAAAATTTAAATATGTTTGACATCATTAGACAAATTATTATTAGATATACATGTTATATATACGGAAACTTGGAATAAATAACTAGCATTTTTTCTCAATTAGTGAATCTACTCAAAACATAATGAATAATAACGATTATTTAGAAAAAGTAAGTGAAGATTTATCAAAAGCCTACTCTAATGATATTTCGGCTCAAGAATTGAAAGAAGATTAAGAATTATTTATTAAGTGCATAAAGAATCAAAGTTAATAAGAAATTTAGAAATTTCGGTAGCCTTAGGAGGAAAAATGTTTAGTAAAATGAAAATAATAAAAAATAATTTGTGATCGACTATAAGAGTAAAAAAACTAAATATCTTGTTAATATTATTAATTGAAAACCAACTAGCAAGATCTGTGAAACTATAATGAATGACTATACTGAAAAAAGGCAAGAAAAATAATTTAAAAGTTCTAAATTATTATTTTATATTATATTAAAAATTACAAATTTATTAATAAATTAAATAAATTGTGCTTTTTCAAAAAATATTTGACCTTGATTATGTATCACGATTTCTACGATTTTGTACACTTAATATATGTATTATACTTGAAGTTATAGAATATTATGTCGGGTGACGTGTAAAATTTTTCATTTCACCTTTGAAAATCACCTTTGATTACAGTGTAAAAATTATAAAAACAACCAGCACTTTTTTTGTGAAAGTATGTAGATTTAATATCCTAATAATATAAAATGTATGTAAAAAAGAGACCATTTGCATGATTCTGCCTCAGGCCACAAAATATCTGTACACGGGCTTTCCTACGAGCCATATTATACCTGTATAGCAGCCCCCATTTTTCATAAAAATTCGAACCACACATTTTTTAATGTACATTGATATGATACAGAGCCCTTCTCTACCCCCTTCCATATGATTGTAATTTTTAGTACAATGTCAGTAATAATTTTTAGTAGTTCTTTTTTTATTAATGAAATTGCATATTATAATAATATAACTACCAATCTGTTATTACTTTTTAAACTGAAAATATACTTTAGTCCGATATGAATCTGAAAAATATTTACAAATTATTTATTTCAATGTGTGATGTATAATTTAAAATTTAATAAATATATTTAAATCCTTATCAGCTGTCTAGCTCCAACTTGCTTCTTGAAAAATACCTTCATAGTAGTGTTATTTATTAGTATTTAGTAGGTACACACTTTTCGAATCCGTAGTGTACACTTCCATTCTCTGACTACACACTTTGTGTCGGGGTTCATTAAAAATAGGGGTTGTTACATAAATATTAATTTTAGACATCAGTTATAAATTATTATTAATAACATTATACAAATTTTCCGGTTAGATTGTTTCATCTTTAGTTTACATCATTAAGCAGTGTTAAGTTCATAAAATACAACATGTACAGAATTATTATATTATTATTATTTTAAAATAGGTATCCTTCCGTATGCCATAACTACAATCGCCCATAGAGCGATCGTGTGCATGTGTAAATATTTGCTGTTAACACGTGTAGGTACAAAGCGTAGGTACTCGCGCATATAAATGTAGCTACCTAGTTGTACTGGTTACAGAGTGTCAAGTGTGAAATAATCATAATAATAATAATTATATATAGTATGATATATAACACGATGTACACGTTTGAACACGTCGTATTTTATCGGTTCGACGAAAAAAACCTCTTAAGATATTGTCAATTGACAACAAATAAGTAATGCAATATTATCTATATATTCTGCATTGTAAGCGTGAGCTTTTTTGTAACATAGTCTTGAAAAATCGATTTTTTTTTTCGGAAATTAATGTATACAATCTTTTATTAATAATAACATTTTTCTGGGACGCAATGTTATAACATATCCATTTAGTAAAGTATAAAATTGAAAAAAAAATATATGATCAGTTTTGTAGAAAATACAATACTTTTAAAAATCGTAAATACCAATATAATTTGCCTGTTTCGATAATTGAATTAATTAAAACAAAAATTCTATACGCCAAACTTTATAATCTGCAGTAATTATTTTTTAGTACTTATAATTTATGCCAGAGATCAAAAAAATCAATCTTGAACACTTTAACTCTAGTAAATAACAGTCGATTTTTTAAGCCAGGTTTTTTTTTATTATTCAATCATCATCGCGTAACGGAGATCGTAATTATTCTTGTTTCATTGCGACCTGTTGATCATCATTGACCGGTACCGCAAGGTTATTATGTATACACTAATTAACAAATACATATTTTGTATTGTACACAAATATACAGCATATAGACCATCTTGAAGTTTGATGGCGATGTCAACCGAATATCGATTAGTACCATTGCAACCGATACGTACAGTTCCTCAATCCATAATGACGAATCTGCAGTATCAATGTTGTTAATCGCCGGGTGATAAAATGAATACATAACGTATAGTTATATAGTAATATAATTCATCGACGTATAACACTCATCAGTAAAATATAAAAATATCTCGTTATATATGTACACCAGACATGGCAAATACGCAACCTGCGGTCCCACAACGAAGTGAACATTTAATATTTTTGTGAAACTATTTTAAACAAATAATTGTATTAGATTGTTTTATTATTAAAACGTATCTTACAAGTAAATATTACGACTGAAATTATATAAAAAAATTGCATAAATTGTTTTTCTTTTTCTGCGTTAGCTTATTATTATATATTATCCTATTCGACATTTTTGACGCTGTTGCTATTTTAACACACTTTCAATGCTCGAGTGTGTTGTTGGCTATGTTGGGGTCTTCAAACTCCACAGGGAGGAGTGGATGAGGGTGCCGATCATTGTTTTTCTCGATTGCCTAAGCGTCGTTCAAAGTTCGAACGGACCACCGACGTGCGTGAAATCCCAGTCGCGAAATTCACGCGTGACGTCACCCGCGACCGTACCGCCGGCGTTACCCGAGTCACTATTACCGCGGGCTCCGCCCCCATCGCGCGCGCCGCAACATAAAACAACCGATGGGCATCGCGCGCGCATATGTTTTATCGCGTTGCGTTTGTGTACTCTTTGCTTTTATTTTTCCTTCGCGCTCACACAAACACACGCACACACACGCACATACGTACACACGCGCACACTGCGCCCGCGCGCTCGCGCAATCACCACAATCGTTCGCGCACAGTGCACACTTTTTTCTCTCTGTCCTCCCGTGCGCGTCTCCTTTTTCTTTTCGTTCTTACACACTGGTAGATTAATCCGTTGCGTACAGCCGAAACGATAATTTTTTTTCTTTTCCTCTACATAGTATAATTTAGTCCGTAATTCGCTTTGTGCACCTCGCCATCGTCGTCGCACGTCCGCTGCTGCTATTACCATTGCACGATATCATCGAAGAACACGCAAATACACTTCCAGATTTACACCTGTACCATACATCTAAATTACTACACAAAAACCCGCTAGGTCTCGTCATTTCGATCAATTATTTTTCTTCCTCTGTCTCGACGCTCTCGCAGGGCCCCGAACGATAATAATATTATTATTTTCCACTCAACCGCTGACGAGATCACGAGCACGGAACACAACTACTGCTGCTTCACTACGGCACTGCGTCGCCCGGAACGAGAGATGTTCATCATCAACGGTATGATACTACCGCTTAGAATTAATTAATTTTTATAACTAAGATCTCAAATATCGTGGCTCTCGGCACTTAAATCCCTTAATCTGTTAATTATTTGTGTAAAATAATTTTCATATTTTCCTTCCATTACAGTCGACCGTTACGTATGAATGTCTCGTGTTCGGTTGCATCACGATACACCTGCACTACGAGCTAAAAGTACCAAAAGCCCCAGTAAGTATTGAACAAATTTTAATACACCCATGTTTGTTACCGTATTTTTTATTTTTTTTATTTGTCTCTTGCATGCTTCGATTGTATGGCACGATCGGTATTTTTGATAAAAATACCACGGCACTTAAATGTTGTATTTTGTGCAACACGCAAATGTTGATTTATTAGTTTATTGCGCGACCTCGGGCGGCTAGTGATTTAATATTTTTATGACATTTACAATTTATGTATAGGTATATATATATATTAATGTTTGTATGGATCGGGATGGAAGCGTGTTCAAGAAGAGGTTTATCGTGTTATTTTTGGAGTTGTGATTAGAACGGCAGTGGCGGCGGGACATAATTTTAGGTGGTAATTTTAGGTTTTATCTTCATGACCCGTAGCAATCACTATCGTTTTTTTCCAAATCTTACCATTGTTTCTTATCATACGTTGGGGGAAACCCAATCGGTTGACTACGACTATGCCCTTAATAATATAATAATAACGCTCTCCTTAATTTCGCTGTTCTTTTTATGTTTACTATCATTAGTATTAAATTAAGATAACCATCGTAATTAAAGTTTTCCAGGACGTGAATTCGTATCGATTTCGTTTGTTCCTACAATAAATGCTAACAGTTCAATTCGAATTTTTTGTCTTGTGTAGCTGCGTATATCCCCAGTATTTGTACTCTCACTCTTAAATGTATGTATATATTTGTGCGTACGCGCGCGCGTGTATGTGTATGTATGTGTTATATGGAGGTTTCTTGCTGATCACATTTTAACAAATACGGGGAATTATTATATTTATTATATTTATATATTTATTATACGTTTCTATTTAGTGTTGAAGTAACTAATGACAGTTGAATTTTTAGCGAAAAAACGCATGTGTTAAATACAGGGTTATAGTATTTTGTGAAAATTGGTTAAACAATCGTTTTGAATGAGTGTTCCATAATAATTAATTTTTTTTTATCACCGAAGTCAACCTGTTCTACATTTATCTGCCATTTTGTTTTCCTCCTTATATATTGTATTTTGAAAAATCAAGAAAATATATTGTTTCAGTTTGTGTATATTTGTTTTTTTTTTTTTTATTGTGATTGATATTATTGGTGCTAAACTAGTTATTTGTATTATTAAATTATATTATTTTAGTGTTAATTACCTATTTATCTACAACACTTAGATTTGACCTCTTCAAAAACTCCTTTGAACTTAATAGTAGATAGTACGGACTGTTTACTTGATTAAATCTAATTTATTTTAATAATTGAGAGCAATGTAACATTAATATATTGCTTCTTACTACAACCTAGAAATAGTTTAAAGTATATTGCATTGTGTGATTTTAGTTTTGTTTTTTTTATTAAGTTTTTATATTTTATTAATGGTTATAGTTCAAAAATATTTTGCATAGCTGCAGCCTTATAAAATTTAGTGATAAGATATTAATTAAACTTGCTAATTTTGACATTTTCCATGAAATAGGTTTCCTTTGTATTTTCTCATCCTTCTTTCCTGCATTACTGCCCAACTATAATGTCACAAATGAAACGAGGTCGCAAGGTATTTACCCTTAATAGCAAAGATTTTTATAATATAAATATTCTTTAAATTTAATCTTTTATTTTATTTCAATATACTTGTTTTATTTTTAGGTAACCTACACTAATATTAAAGAGAAATATCATCATTTGGAGTCATCTAGCCTCCAACAACAAACTTACATTTATAATAACCAAAACGTAGCTGAAACCCGTTTTGGATCAACCATGGTACCTAATCGAATATTTGTTGGTGGCTTAGCCAATGGTACATCAGAACAAGAATTACGAAATTTCTTTTCTGTTTATGGTGAAGTTAAAGTAGTTAAAATTGTCAAAGATAAAGGTGGTGCTCTTAAAGGATTTGGTTTTATTACTTTTAATACGGAAGAAGAAGTTAAAAAAATTATAGATGCTGTAAGTTTATTCTTTTGACTAATTAGACTATAGTCAGGAGCACTAAAAATGATCGCTGCTCGTAATGTGCCAAGTGGCTGTTTATCTAAAGTGGTTATCAAATATTCGTTCACTGTTCATGTTATCACCCCACATATTTACAACTATTATATATACATATACCTATATCTGTGGTTTTCGCTCATTATTGGTGCCCGTGAATACGATACATATAGGCAGTGTGACGGTACAAAGTTGAGAATCAATGGTTACAACAGTGGGTACGAATAATGGGTTGGGGGTACCAACGCTCATTTTGCTCCCGACTATAGTTAATTTACCAAGTGAATAATATTTGAATAACTCAAATATATGAATAATATTATATTTTAGTTTTCCATGTTTTAATTATATTAAGTTAATAGTTCATTGTGTTGATTAAATTCAATTTTTCAGGGTCCTGTTCTGATATTTAAAGACAAGCGTATTAACATAGCCCCTGCATTTGAAAAAGTATGTATATGTAATTTCATAAATATAATTTTTAGATTATAAAATAAATTTCTACATTGTTTTTCTTATCTTACATACATTAAAATTACTTGATATACAAGGGTAACTAATGAAATTGTTTTGTATTTAAATTTAAATTTATTATATATATATTTATTTTTGAATTTATATGTTAGTAGTTTGTGAGCTACTAGTAATTTTTAGGTTTTTGGGTGACAATGCTTTCTATTTTTAATTGTTACATGTTTTTATAATTGGTTTTTTATCAAAACATTTTATTTATGTAAGTTTTTATAATTGGTCTTATTAATTTATCAAAGAGTTTTTGAAGATAACATTTAAGTCATATACATTGAAAATATAATTTGTTGATGTAAAAATTAAGTTAGGAAAATGAATTTCTTTTAGAAATATTGATAACAGATTTGATGTCTAATTAATTATATTATTAACTTCATATTTATAAATTTTTCTACAATAAATTGGATATCTTTATGAAATATTTTACTGTTTTTTTTTTTTTTTTGATTTATTAAAGTTCAAATAATGGTTTTTTTTTTTATCGTTTTTCACATGGATATGTTTTATCACTGGGATCATGTTAAAATGGTATCTAACATCATATCAAATGTGACACTTGTACATTTTTATTTTCTGTGCTGTGTCCTTATGAACTCAAAATGGCCACTGCAGACATATTGTAAGAAATATGCTGCTGCCCAACAATTATTTTGTAAATTTATTTATTATGACAACTTATTGGTTGGGAAACTGTTAATTTTACCTATTATGTTGTGTGTAAGACATGTCCATGTACCAATATACCCGTGTTATATCCCTGTGTCGTTTTATAATGTAATAATTTATTTTTATATTATTCTGTTTAAATCCAGTGTTAATTATTTATATACTCTTAAATTAGGATATCAAAAGTAATTATGATTCCAACCAATCTCCTCAACAGCAATCACATATGATGTCATATAGTAGTCAAGTTCAACAGTATTCAGTTCCTCCATTATCTTCACCAGCTCAACCAATGTTAGCACCAGTAATGTATACTTATCAAAATGGAATGGCTTTTTTTAACATGCCAGTTAATGGGAATACATCAATACCTCCACAACATTCTGGTCCACAAAATTCAGTTTCAACTGAATCTCTTGTTCCTACCATATACCCAACAGGTAATTAATTAATAATTTTTTATAATTCCGAATCACTTATTTTGTTATTTATATTTTTAGCTCCTTATGGAACACAAAGTGCTGCTACCAACATGCAAGGTTATAGTGGTCAACCTATATTCTATCCGAATCCTATACCCCAAGTGTTAGTTCAACAAACTTACCCTAATTTACCAGTAAGTTCGGTAAGTTATCAATTATAATTATATATATTGACATGAATCCATATATTTATAAATTCAAACAATTTAGATTTTTATGTTAGGTATTATGATATCATGCAATGATTCAATTATTTATCTCAATATAACTTAACATTTTAGTTACTAAAAAACTGGAATAGTTTCTTAAATGTACATTCTATGTTTATTATGTATTTAAATAAATTCTTGATTTAAAATAATGAATTGTTTATAAAATAAATATTAATATTTTTTTATTAATATAGGTTTGCAATGGTAATCCAGGATCTAAGGTTCTATTTTCGATGCCTTGTGATACACCTTATTATTCGGGGACTCAAATGTCTAGTATGATACCATCTTCAGATATGGCATATCCAATGCCAATGATGTCACCATATATGCCTTATATGGTTGCAACTTCTGATGGAGGTTATCCGTATTATGATCCTGTTTTGGAAAATATTCAGCTTGTTCATCAACCATTATATACAGAGCAGTGCACAAATCCTAGGCCACAATCTGCTGATGCTTCGGTAATTAAAATATTTAAAGTATGTATAAGGGTTGAGCGAGGTGTTTTTTAATTTGAGCTATTGATTATATATTTACAGAGATTTATATTTTTGAGATAATTATTTAAATTATTTATGATTTTCTTAAAATGTTTAAATTAACTAACATAGATGAATTTTGATGTTATTAAGTAAATATATTACAGTATTTTTAGTACTTAATAATTTCTGATTGAAAATATAAATTAAAAATACTTAGAATGATAAAATAGTCGTTAAAAAAAAAATATTCTGTTATCTAAGTAAACCAAATACTTGATTCTTATCTTAAATTAATACTCATATTCATCAAACATATATCTGAATTAAAAATATTAAAATTTGCTTTTATGATATGCTTAAATATCTTAAATTATTAGTCATTTTTTTAATTATTCTCCACAGTTATAAGATATTAATTTGTTAATTTACTTCTTTTTTTTGTTTTCTTATTAAGTTACTAAAAAAAGAAATAATTAAATATTCTATTATAATAATATTTAATGATATTCATTTTAAATTTAATTTTACTTTTTACATAAATTAAATATTTTAAGTTAATCATAAATAATAGATATTTTAAATATTTAGATAATTTAAAATTTATAAATTGTAAGGTAATGAGTCTAGTTTATTGAATAGATTACCTGTTTTAGTTCTTAATTTTTTTATTGTATGTTAATATATTATAGCTAAATTTTCGTTAATTTTCTCGCTTAGCTCTTAAGATAATACTTATTTATTCTATCTATTCTATTGGTAATATAGTTAAATTAAGTTGAATAGAACTTCAATTGAGACTTTCGACTAGTACAAAAGTATACTCGTATTATCCTTTACTACAATTTGTTACTAAATGGTTTTTCAATACCATAAATAAAAAATGTTTAAATTGATAAAAATTTTTAATATATATAATATATATATATTATATATATTATAATATATAATATATATAAATGGAAATTTCCTAAATTATTGAAATATTAAGATTATAATTTTTAAAATTTTATATTGCAACCAAAAATTATTCTTTACACTTATAATAGTTGAGAATATTTTATTGTATACTTATAAACAAGGCTGTGAATTTAATGCACTTAAAAACTATTAAATATGCACCAAAAACTGATAAAAAAATGCTCTAAAAATTCTTAAAATATGCTCATATTTTTCAAAAATATGCAAAAAAAAAAAACCATTCAAATTTAACTATTATTTTTTTCATTGAATTTTTTTATTAATTATTAATTTGTTATTGGGCTAGTCTTGATGTTTATTGTATACAAGATCTATAAAAAAAAAAAATATGCTTAGAATAAATTATGTTTTTATATAAAATTATATGTTTTACCTTTAAAGTAGTTATTGCATTGTGTACAATTAACGATTTCTTCAGATTTTCAAATTTAAAAGACCTCCTATTTGATTCAAATCTAGCTTTGTACAAAGAAAAAAGGTGTGTTCCACATCCGATGATATTATTGGGGCAAACTTGAAATATGTCATGTTGCTACTGGTTAAATTTTCTGGTACATCCAAACCTTTATTCTTTTTTTCGCCAGTTAATATTTTTGAAATATTACAAATTATTTGAAATCCTTTGTTTTTGTTGAGAACTGTTTGTAATTTTTTATTAACAGCAGTTCCAGCTGTGCTTATTAATTGACTAAACTTTGTCGAAAAATCTTTTACAATTTCAATAACCTCAGATTAGGGAATACCTTGTTTTTGTAGACGTGTAATAGCTATGGAAAGGCATGCGAAATTTGAATGTATGTAAGCCAAATTTATTTTCATTTGATTAAGTTTTAAATATTTTTGAGCATTTTTAATAGAAAGTGTATCATATTCATCAAAACATTTATCAATTTGACTTACAGTTTCGAAGTTTTTACTGTAATATATTACGGTAGATATCCACGTACCTTAATGAGTCAAAATAGATTCAGGGGGTAGTGGTATATGTAGTGCATCAGTATGAAATTTTGAACACGATAAAGCGCTTTTTAAAATACTCGTTTGACATTGCGATCAGTTTATCGACTTTTTGAAACTGAATATGAATTTGTTCAGCAGTTCTTTGCAGTCCATGGGAAGTACAAGTTACGTGAACCATTTTTGTATACAAAACTTTTAATGTATCATCTGCCTTTGCCATAAGGCGCAGCATCAGTTAAAAAAAGTAAAATGTTGTTTCGATATATTCCGTCAGGCCATAATAAATACAGAGAATTTTCAAATACTGAACATATTGTACTATGATTTGATTTCTGTAAATATTCAAGATTGAACAAAAAAATTTCACCTGTACGATTCGGAAGTAATGTGCCAATAATGACTGAAAAGATAGAACGACCCACAGCATCTGTCGTTTCGTCTATCAAAACTGAAATTACTTCTTGGTAGCAATAATCAACATTTCCTTTGAACAATGTTGTTTGATCTGGTACATTTTGTGCCGTCTATTTTATTAGAAATTGTTTGAAATACTTATTGCTTAATTTATTAAGTGGGATATTAGCACTGAGCATTGCTTTACACAAATCATTGTTGAATGAAGATTTTGATGATGAATCTTTTGTAATAAGTTGCTGAAATTTTATCTTCTACACCAGTGGTGGCCAAACTTTTTTTTCCTCGGGCCATAAAAAACAACTTTTTTTATCGCGGGCCATAAAAAAATGCATTTAAAATTTTTTTTTTATGTAAATGCAAAATATTACAGTTATACAAATAAGTGCTGTAATATAGAAGACTTTCACGGGCCAGATATTAAATGATGGCGGGCCGTAGTTTGGCCACCACTGTTCTACACAATTGATTCCTCTTCGATTTTTATCTGTGCAACGTTTTGTGTTACAGAAAAACGTTTACCGCTTGCTATTTTGATATTGCAAACTGTACAAATTAGAATTTTATTGTCCTTTGTAAATATGTTTCCAAATTCCAAAATGTAGGTTTTTAAATGGGTCGCAACCGATGTTTTTTCCTTTGGCATTTTTATTTAGCTATATTATTTAAAAAAAATGTGACAAATATGAATTACTACAATAAAATAATTAAACAAAGAAATCAACACGAATGAAAATAATACACAAACACATACATGAAGTACGTTGATCAACAGATTGCATCAAACTAAAGGCGTATTAATATGTTTTCGAATTTTGTCATCTGTTGTGTACGATTTGATATTAGTTAATTAATTTAATCTCTACTTCAATAGTATAATCGTCAATAATACACTTAATATTCGACTAAAAACATAATAGTTTACTTGAAACTATACTAATAAATTTAATATCAATTTAGAACAGATTGACCGAAAAAAGCATTTATATAAAAAAAATCATTAAAATATGCATTTATATTATATGCCATAATCCATTAAATGTGCAAAAATATGCTAAATAAGATTTAGTATTTGAACTATATATAAGTCAAAACAAATTTTGACCGAATCCATTTTATTATACGTTGTGGCAAAAAAACATGCAAATGCATTAAATTCACAGCCTTGCTTATAAATAATAATTTACTGGTTATTTTAAAAAGTAATCATATTTATTTTATCTATTGTTGCCTTAATCTTTTTAGTTGAAGTTCTTTAGAAGCTAGATTTTTTTTGTATCATCTATTTAATAAACCGAGAAAGAAAATCCTAATATAACGTTCCTAATAAAGTGCTGTATGTTGAATATTCAATGTATGACTCTAGGTGGGGCAAGCGCAAGTAATTACTACCAATCAGTTTGTATCATTGATGTCTGTAGTTAGAAATGATGGGGAAAAACCTCAAATGTACACTCCTGAAGCTCAACAGTTGTGTCTAACTCCAGTCATAAGTTTAGCTGATCCTCCACCACAGTCAATATCCCAACCAATAAATTCTAAACCTGCTACATCTTCTCCGCCAGATCCTGAAAAATCTGATCAATCACCTAATCAATTACTTATGAATCAAATTCAGTATAATATTAGACATCCGCCTCCTTCTATAAATACACGTCCTGAACATAAGGATGCTTCTAAGCAACGTGGTGATACACAGCAATATCAAGGAAATAACAATAATTTATCTATTAAGAACAATAATGACTACATGAAAAACGGACCTAAAAAGTATCCTGAAACTCGTACATTTTATAAAACTGGGCCAACTACATTAGCTCATCCCAGACATCCTAATGGACCATTGGTCAATTCATCTTTTACCAACTCATTTTTTGTTCCTACTACTGGTTTCCGTCACCGGTTTCCTAAAATGCACTATCCTGCTGTTCCTCAGGTGATGTTAAATCCAACCTATCCTTATCCCAGTCAGGGAAATGTACGCCCTAATGGTCAACAAATGTTCAACAATAGAGGAACCAGATGTGGCAACAACAACTATCAAAGCAACAAGAAAAACTATAGTGTAAGTAGGGTATTTATTTAATGACTCACATGATCTAGATATTTTATTAACCTTGTTAATTATTTTTTTTTTAGTCTTACAAGGCAAACAAAATAAATCGTTATACCTCTGATCATGGTGATAATCATGAAGTTTCGAGCAGTGAAGATAGTCGTACTGACCAGTTATCCAGTGGTGATATGGGCCCCCCTCAGGTAGATGGAATGTGTTCGGATATGAGGTCGATGGCTATTTAAATATACATTATGTGATCAAAGTTAAATAGCCCCAACAAGACTGGTCAGCTCCTAACATTATTTGATTTTTTATAGTATTATTTAACTTAATTTCCCTTTTTTTAGAATTCAGAAAATGGCAACAATTTTGGTCGATAAAAAAATATAATATATTTATACTTGCAAAATATTTCGCCCTTCTGTGTTCAAAATTGTTATTTATTAATAGATTATAAGCACATGATAATAGGTAGATGTACAAATTGTAGCGACCCTTTATGACAAAAAAAGGCTGTTTTACTGTGATAAAAATTAAATTAAAAGTATCCATTGTTAAGGCGTCGTAATCATAAGTACTTCATACAAAAGTCTTAATGATTTTTGCTCAATAGTGCTTGGAAAAAATGTAGGTAATATATATTTTATGTATGTATGATATATTAATTATCATTGTTAACATATATAATAATAATACTAATGTCAAAAGTTATAGATTAATAACAGTAAATTTGTTTTTTGAGTATGTTGAATCTTCCAGATGAAAAATATTACATTTATTAAAATTAATGTATTACATGTTGTTTAACATAAATTATAATTATCTATACATTGATAAATACCAATTAAATAATTTTTAATTATTATGTATCCGCAAATATTAATTCCAACATATTAATACATAATTTAGTTACTCTATGAAAGTGATTTTTAATTTGTTAACTAATTTATTGAATTTTATCAACTGTGCAATTTTCCACAAATTTGTTATTTTTTAGTATTAAATTTTAAATTGTACAATTTATTTAAAATGAATTATTTTATAACAAGTTTCCTTCATCTTATTTAATATTTTTTTTTATTCCTGCGTTAAATTGTGTAATAATTGACTTCCTGTAATAATTACATTTGCACTTGTTAAAACTTCAAAGAAAAAATTATTTCTAATATGTGTAAAAGAAATGTGTTTTTAGATTTATTTTTTGAAAAAAAAAATATATCTTTCTTTCATAGAGTTTCTAATATTTTTTGCCTTTATAATGTAATAAAACATGTCTTCTTTGATTTTAATTTACTTTAAAAAATAAAAAATTAAATTAAAAAAGATTGATTAGTATTAATGGGTCTAGAGCAATTTGTAGTATATTCTACCTAATTATTTTGTAGATCATTCACATACTAAAAATATTTATAAAAATTTCAAATTTAAATTTCTTAATTTTATTTACTAAATTTAATTAGGTTTCTCATAATAATATTGTGAGCGGATTTTATCATGATTTTCTCAAATAAATTAAAGAACTTATTTTATTTTATAATACAATTTATTATTGATGTAATTATAATAGCCATAATTACATATACATGTGTTTGTCATCTAAGTTATAACATTGATGAAATGCAACATAAACGACTGAATGAAATTTTTCAACATATTATGTGAACAACTATAGTTCTATTTTGTGCCTATGAGATTCTTGATACTGCCAGGTAAAAGTTAAAATGTAATTACCAATGATTTACAATTACTAGGTGCGTGATAGGGAAGATACTATTAAAGGTATTTTTTGTGGACAATTAGTGATCTCTAAATTACTGGTATTCATTTTGTGTATCCTATTGTAAATATAAAAAAGTACATATATTAGTGATGAGTTAATTAGTTTTAAGAGATTGTTCAGTAATTGTTAAGTTTGTTAAGTTGCAGTTATATTTATAGTCTATACCTATGTATATTTAGTTATTTAATAAGTAATTTAAAATAAATTGTTTATAGCAAATTGTTATTTTTTTTATGTATTTTTAATTTTTCCTTTTCTTAGATATTAATTTCTCGATTAACAAGAATTTTATGCATTATGATTTAAGATTCTATTGTGTCATTTATGCATAAAAAAAATTAACAAATTAAATGATGCTTATTTTTTATAAAAAAAAAAAAACTGATTTTCTAAGTTTTGAGTATATTTTCTCTGTAATACTATACTTATTGTGTAATTATATGTAATTCTGTTGCATCATATACCAAACAATTATTTTAAATTTATTAAATCATCTTATGGAACCGGTAATCCGTCATAACCGTGAATATCAAAATAGCGACGGTAAAATAACTAAAAGCCATAATAGCGAATATTCTTCAAAACAGCTAAAGAATATTATTTTAAAATTATTACTCTTATTATTTATCTGTAGTAATAGTATTACGTTATAAAGTTGCAGATAATGACGATCAATTTTATACAAATAGCTGAGTTATCCAATATTATTGTTCAGTCAGACCAGATATAATAATAAATTAGGTGGATTAGATATGAGCACAATATTCGACAGCGACAGTGTGTGTTTAACCGCTCAGTATCGCAGTTGCATACTTCGTATATTATACAGTTTCATTTAAAAATAAAGAATATTTAATTTCATAAAAAAATAAACCACGTAAAATATGATGGGTTTTTGTATCGGAAGGATTGTGAAAATGACGAAAATTCATACTGGAGATATGTGAAAGTTGAAAAATTTTGTGGTAGAATTAACATTAAAAATGATTTGGTTATTAAAGATTCTTCATTCAAACATGTACATGTCCCCAATCCAGCTAAAATCGAAGTCAAACAATTGAAGTAATGAAAAAAAGTGCTTTAACTACTCAACACAATCCAAGTAAAATTATTAGTGATATTGTAATCTTATGACGGTGACTCAGGGAGCCTACAAATTAGACGAGTTATTCTTTTATTGGCTGTATCTTATTGACATCAATATAAATAATTATTAACATTTTAATTTTAATTTCATTAGCAATTTGACTGTTCATTATAAAATATTGGTGTTCGACTTAAAAATATTATATAAGTATTATGTGAGATAAGGGCTAACTGTTGTCATTTAATACTCCTGTAGTTAAACATTATCTAAGTATTTTTGACTCCTGGATTGGGTGTTCCTCCCAGGTTTTAAAGACAAAAGGTTTTATCTTTTTATAACATGTATTATACCACCAAAAACCACTATTATAAACTTATTTTTATACATCTGTTAAAGTTAAATTTGAAAATTAATACATTTTATGAGACTATTTATGACAATAGATTTTTGTAGGTAATATTTTTCAAGTTTTTTAAATATTATTGAAAAATGTATGAGCTTGTTTTATGATGTCATTTAAAAATTTAAATGACAACTATGTGTTAAAAATCAGAGAGAACGAAACATTTATATAGCTCACAATGAGATTTGGTTTGTAATTGATACTCTAACAGTGGTCCGCAACCTTTTTTTTTTTTTGGACCCTTGGTCCACATTCATTCTCGGTTTGGTGTTTAATTAGGCGCGTAGGTAGGTAGTTCAAATGTGGGCAGGCGTGGATCCAGATAAATTATTGGGGGGGGGGTATTTTATATTGTAGACATTATATATGAAATTCAATAATTCCATAAAATAAGTATTACCGTTTACCATAAATACTTCTTAACACTGTAAAGGAATAAACTTTCAATCTACTCTAAATTGTTCATAATACGACACAAAACCACGGCTTTGATTTATTAGACAAAATGGTGTAATTAGAAACCGGATCCCGGCTTAACATTATTGTTATGTATATATTTCGTTATGATAAATGTTTTTATCACGGTTTATGAGGATTTTTTACCTGTACTTCAGTATAACATGGTTAAAGGGGGGGGGGGTGTTATTACACCTGTAACACCTCTCTAGCTACGCTCCTGATTACAGTAACGACTATATCTAGGGGGAGATATATATTCAGTTAAAAGTTTCCATAAATACATTTTTATAAATCAACCAAAACATTCTTTAACAATCAATTATTTAATTTCCGTGGCAAATTTAGGTAAAAATATTTGTGTAAAAATAAATTCACTTGGAAAACTCATATAATTAAATTATTTTCGCCAAAAAAGTTTCCATACACTCATTTTTCTCATCATTGTACTTGTTGTTATGAAGTCTAATAAATTAATTTATTGTGATCTTTCATATTTGTATACATTAAATATATTTTTTTTAACTACGTTAATTATACGTTAACGTTCTCTTCACTACGACATATGTTAACCATGGAAGTACCTACTGAAGTCCGTGCATTCAATATTCGACTAAGAAAGATCCTTCTTAGAAGATAATCTTATCGAAAAATTACTAAAATTGTAAACAAATCATATGCGACGGTTCAATATATTATTAATCGTCAAAAATAAATTAAAACATTAAACAATAGCATAGAGCCTCGTTCATTTTGTCCTAGAAAATCACAAGACCAGTGCATCATAACTGGCGGATATGGTTAAAAAAAGATGATGGTGTAAAAGTAGTAGGTACCACAAACGGTGAGAAATGTTTTGATTTAATTTATTATAGATTTGGATATAATGGGTCTACTGACAAAAACCATTTATAAGTGCAGTTAACAAAAGGAAACATTTAGATTTCTCAAAAGCTCATATTGATAAGCCTATAAGTTTTTAGAACTAAGGAATTTTTTCCGATAAATCAAAATTTAATGTATTTTCATCCAATGGTAGAGGATAAGTATGGAGAAAACCAAATGAACAATTAAAACATAGAACTTATGCGCAACTTTTAAACATGGAGATGGTAATGTGTTAGTATATGGATGTATGAGTGCATCATGAGTAGGAAATTTAGTGTTTATAGATGGTATAATATAGTGCTTTTCAACCTTTTTCAAACTGCCCCCTCCCCAAGAAGCAAAATGTTTTTCAACGTCCCCCCCAACACTTCATTTAAAATTAAAATTGAAATAGTATACATGAAATGTTTATAATTGATTAATAAATAATATATATATATAATTGTAAAATTTATGTTTAAGTATAATTTAAATGTTTCGAAATGTATTGATCAGTGAGATGGTTGTGCTTGGTGATTCAAAGCCAATTTTTTTAAATTTGGTTCAAAGTTTGTGAGATGAAGGCGCAAATCTCTTTTAACGATATCGAGTCGATTTCTTTTTTTCGTTATTAGATAATAACGCACTGCCTCTGGTATATGTAGTTTATATTTCATAATCACGAATTTATTTTAGAAATCGATAAACGGGAAACAATAATTTATCTGTAATTATTACTGATAAATTTTGGTGCGTTTTTTTTAACAAAAAAAGTTCACCACCCCCTTATCGCCCAAAACGAGTTCACAATCGCCCGGAATGAGCTCACCGCCCCTCGGTACGCCTTCATCGCCCACCGAAGGGCGATATCGTCCCCGCTGAGAAGTACCGATATAATAGATCAATACATTTATTTAGATATTTTCAGAAATTATTTGAAAAGTAGTGTGGACAAATCGAGTTTGGGAAATTAATTTATCTTTCAACAAGATAATGTTCCTAAATACCTTCATACACCCC